TTCCAGTTAAGCTTTGTATTAAAGATTTTATTCACTATAATTATCTGATAAACTAAGTTTCAGTTAGTGTTGACGTTATGTTTGTCTGTATTTGATGTGAAAATGTAAATGAGTAAAATCCATTTTGGGAAATTAATTTGATTTAGATCATTTTTATCTGTATTAGACATTAGCAATACACTTAAAATGAATCTGGTCAACTGTTTTTAAATACTTACAATTAACCTAAATAGCAAAATATGAATCAATGTAATATTTGTCTAAAGCTCTTATCCGAAAAGATATTTCATGATTGATATATTTCAATTGTTCGTCATTCATCTTAGATTTTATTTCTTCTTATCCAGTTGCATTCGACAGCTCTGGTCATGTATATATATATTTGATGAAGGTACTTAATATTCGAGTTGTCATGGTAAAAAAACAGATGTTCACATTCATTTATGCATACTTAACAATCAATAATATACATTGATAATATAGACACAAGGTAAGTCTACTTTTTTCTAAGTCTTGATCTGAAATAACAGACAAAAAATGGCTGTCATACTGTACAAAAAATTCGACAATTTTCTGTTTATCATTCACGCCTTTATTCGTAGGTGTTTTAGTGTGCCCAAATAAAGGGTACACGGAAAACCTAACATATCAGTTTAGAGTTGTGAAGATTATTGATTTTTTTATTCAGGTCATGGATCTATCAATGTTAGACCACCATTGGAAATCTCGAAGCACTAGACGGCTATTTTGTCTTAGTATGAGACTTAGACATTAACACCATTGGATGCCTTCTCAATGGTCTAGAGGTTAGGCGTTCACACGAGAGACCAAAGGACCTGAGTTCGAATCCAGCGTGCTAGACCGTGAACGCGCACTGCTGAGGAGCCCCACACTAGGATGAAACAGGCGCCCAATGATTCAAGGTTTTTAATAGCGGTCTAACATTGATCGGTTCATGATTTCAATTAAAAACTGACATACGTAAATGACAAACATCGAATTTCACTTGTTTCCTTTAAATGGAACACACTTTTTCTTCTGAAACTAATGTATTAATATTTTTTTGAAAAGACAGTAATTGTTTCGATTACAATCTGATATAAGAAGCGATGGCACACTAGAAAGTAATGAGTTACTCAATATATAATAGTTTCCAGATGTTATCAGTACATCTAATAAAAGTCGAGGAATGTCCATAAATCGTCTATCTAAGCAGTAACCATGCGCTAACTAATGACTTACTTTGAGAGGGAGTTTCCAGAACCGTAACTTGATATTTAATAGAGTCGATCAGTTCTAATCAACACAAATACTGTTGATTGTGACAAAAAAGTTATAACACAATTATACAAATCCAAAAATGAATCTGTGAAGCACAGGGTCTCTTATGCAATTCATTTCATAGTGCTAATGCGGTATAGCATCTTGGGACAAATGATATCTGTGCCACGCGTTCACCGAATCCGTTGTCCTTAATAATTACTGTCAAACTATTTAACTTTTACAGAAAATTCAGGACAACGACGCTGATCTTTTCATTTCCTGTCCCTAACCTTACAGTCCTAGTGAGTTAGCCGAGTGGTTATTTTTTCGACTATAGTATTCAGCCACTGACACTTAGGTGTATCAGCGCTGTCAATGAGGTCTTTGACTCCAACTTTTATGCTTATCTGCTAACCCTTTAGTTGTCCTGAGTCAACATTTACAACTGTCAATGGCTATCGACTTAATAATAATAATGACTTTCTGGAAAACTGAAGGGTATTGCCTCAACAATTTCTTCCAAAATAAGTTGACCGGATCCTGAGCACTTCTCTGTTTTTTATTATGGCTGATCGCAAGAGTCTTGCATTACCTTATATACTAACTTATTCACTGTCCTTCAGTAACAATAACACTATGTTCGTTCCAGCATTCTAATACTATCTAATCAACCGATCATCCAGGTTCCTGTCTGACACTGTAATTATTGACGAAATTTTTTTTCAAAGGTTTATTATTATTCACAGAAAATTGGTCAATTTCTGTTAGTAGAAAAATTTTGTGCATTTTGAAAGTTTCTTTCCGCCATTAAAGCTTTAGTAAAGCGACCATGATGTTAATGAATATTTATATATATTGTTTGAATTCTACTGATTGTCAATTTGTTTGAACACGAAAACTCAAAAACCTACTTTTCATCCGGATCACTATAGACGCCATCGCGGTTTTAATAAACTTTTATACTGAGCAACGTGTGTGATCGGACTAATTAAAATATATATTTCGGAAAACAATGTTTCAATTTTTTTTCCAGCTAAATCAAACTTATTTTTAATTTATGGACGTAGGTCACTAGGTGATTTGATTTTAATCAAGAAATATAATTGGTGTTGTTAAAACTACTATTTCTTATTTGTATCACGAAAGTAAGTGCATTTGATGGTAAAGAACAATCAAATAAGTAGAGAAACCGGAAACTAAATAAAGTTCTAGAGTTTACTAAATCAGTTACATTTATCAATTATAGCTGAAATTATGGAGAAAAGAAAGTTCAAGATATTTATTAGGAAAAAAGACAGAAACCATATGAGCTACTCTTAACACATTAATCACTAGATACTTTTAGTAAAAAAACAGATTATTATTAGCTAGAAGTGGAATTCAGGATATGCATTTTGCTCCGATTTTAACTCACCAACTGCATCCAAGAGGTAGTGTTAACACTGAGGTTCGGATTAAGTAGTCATTATTTTAAATACCAGAACATTATTCACTGGGTCGAGGAGTTGGGATAACTACTAACTTGTTCAACGGATATGAAATTTGTTGTTAATTCCAAAGGCTTTTTAGTTTATCACTGCTAACATGAAGGAATTAACTTGGGTAATTAAACAAGAAGATTTATCCAAGTACATATAAAATTAAGGTGATATCATAATTTTAATAAATTTACAAGCAAGTGTGAAACCAACCAATAATACTCAGAAAGAACTTCTTTGATAGTGACAAATATATTGACCCATTTACAATAACATTTGGTTAGAGTATGATTAGATTCATTTTCACAATGAAAAACTTTTATCTTATTTGTTATTAATTTAAACACATAAATATTGGTACAAGAAAGCACCCGATACATATGCGCCACACAAAACCCATTTGATTTGTGTGAGGGTTGTGATACTGCCCAGGTGCCCAAACTGAAGTAGGTGGTTTTCTTAGGAAGCCACACCCGGAGCCTTTGACCTAAAGATCTGATCCACAAGGCAGTGGAGCATCGTAAGGAGATGCAGTCACATGGTAGCCGGTGACCAACAATTGATTCATACGCCATTTGTTCCTTCAGGATACTGGAATCCATGTGCACCATTGGTTTGGAATCAGGGTTTTCCAACTCCCCTAAGTGGACTTTCGGTGTCCACCAACCCGTTTAAAGCGCCGAACATTTGCTTTTCGTCCCCTCACTTTCGTGAACAACACCCCTGCCACGAGAAGGAAGTGAGTAGGACTTCCCTGGCAGAGGCTGTATACACGTGGCCATGTGAGAGCATTTCGAGAGGAAGGGCGGACTCCCCCCACTCTCGGCCGTACCAGGGCATTTCGGGGGCATGAACACTATTAATGCTACCCAGGACCACAAGCTAATGCATGAAGAACAGAGATCTAAAACTACTATCAAATAGTTGAACAAGAAACGCTGTCAATAAGAGCGGATAAATTGTATCAATATGCAGTTAATATATATTTAGCTTTCATAAGCTTAAATGCTTGAATCATTCGTAATAAAATCAACTTATTTCGAATAATGGGGATTTGTATAGATTTTAGTATCTTGACAGTTGAAATCATGAATCGGTCTAAACTAAGCCACCATCAAAAACCTGGAAGCAAAATACGGTTGTTTTGTTATAGTATGGAACTTCTCGACAATGAGCAACCACGATCCCATACACGAGACTCAAACATAGGACGCGAATGCCTAACCTCTAGACCACTGAGTCGGTATGCAACGGCGTTAATGTTTCATTTTAATCAATTTATGATCTTGCGCAACCCTTCATCCATTGTCTGGGGTGGATAACTTTTTAACACTCAACAGTGATTGAATTTCACTGGTCATGGCTTTTCACTACAACTCCATGAGTTTCATCTTCAAGCTGGTCACTATTGAGCAGATGGTTTTCGTTACTATGTGGACTATATCTATAATTATATGCATTCAATATTAGTAAATTATGCATTCACAGTACGATCTATCAGGATAAACCAATGATATTGATAAAAAATACGAATAATAAATTCAATTTAACTTTATACCCGTTAGGAGAAATACTAAATAACTTTTCAATTCAAAATCGAGTGAATAAGAATTATAACTTAAGGGGTTTTTATAATTAGTCTTAACATTTATAAAATAACTAAGATGAATATATACGTAAATGAAGAAAATTATACTTTATATCAAAGTGAGTTTTGTATAATTTACTTTTACAAATAATAATAATAATCAATGATAAATTCAAAAGAATGAAAATGTATACAAAATAAAGATACATTCATTATAAAAAAGGAAGGATAATTCTGGTAGAGTGATAAAACCATTTGTCTTTGGATAGATTATTTACTTTTCTATTGAGTTGTCTACTATTTTTTTTCTTTTTCTCTTTCAATAAGAAACATATAAATAAGTAATAATTAAATCAGAATGGGGTTTTGTGAAGATTTCAGTATTTTCATAGTTGAAATCATGAGTCCATTGAAACTAGACCAGGTTTTCCATGGTGGTCTAGCTTAAATGGACTCATGGTTTCAACTATGAAAATAATAATAAAATGTAGAATAAGGATCATCTTATATAAAACAGTATACTCTATTAAAGAGATATATTTAATTCAAATAATAGATAACCGGTCCATTATAATCTGTGATAATATCATAGAAATATTTGTAAAGAATTACAAATAAATTTGGTTGTCTTCAGAAATAGGGGGAAAAATAGTAATTTATTCATACAGCATTCAAGATGGCTCCCAAATGCGACCAAATATATCAGGTAGACTATGAGGTTTATCCAAAATCCATGGTTCATCTAAAATAACAAAGCAACGAAGAATATATATATATATATATATATATATATATATATATATATATGAGTTGTGTTAACGAAGTGTGGAAATTTCAACTAATGCACATAGGTGCCAAGTTCAACGTTGTGTATCTCGAACTACTTGAGTGAATGAAAGAACGAAAATTTAATATTAATGGTCTAAAGCTTAGTATAATGATATATTGAAAGTTTTATGGGTAGTCTTGTACATACTTAATCATTTTATAAATAATTTAGATCATGGCAGTGTCAGGGAAAGTTTATCAGTCTCCTCACAACAAAATCAACAGAAAACACAGTGTGAAAAATGAAATGAAAATGAAAATCAGACATGGAATGTATTTGATATTTCTCATTTGCAATGTATCATTTATCCATTGCGAAAAAAAGTGACAACAAAAATGATTATATACATATATAACTTCTTACCGTTTGATTGATATTTCACCGGAGGTAATTCATATGGAATAGGAAAGGGTAATAATTCATCTGTTGATGATTGAGAATAGTTTGCATTGTTTTTAAGAATTTCAAATGAATGGGCTGATTCCTGGTTTTAGGAAAATAATTAATCAAGGTTAAATCTACAGTATAATGCAGAGTGACTCAGAGATCTCGACATATATTAGACAATCACGAAACCTTAAGTATAACTAATTCACAATTTCAAAAAAGATGGAAGAATTGACCGAGGATATATTAATTTTACGACAAATAAAATTTTCTAAGCTGGCCATAAGATCTAAACTTTAGAGTGAGGATCGAAATCTAAAGTTAGCTTATATTCAACAAAACTAATGACCTTACCTTAGCACCCTATCCATAACATCTTAACCGTAACACTTAATGCAACATCCTAAATAATATATTCACATAAGAGTATCTATTTTAACACTTCAGCATTTTTGTAAGCAACTCATAACGTTCTTCTCACTCGAAGAAAGGCAACAACTTCTATATCTTATACCTTACTACAGGTCTGCATTTATATATATATATATATATATATATATATATATATATATATATATATATATATATATATATAAATCCTGTAAGCTCATAATGATTTAGTAAAATGTGAAATTTAAAGTGTGAAAATCTAAAATATTTATTAATGATCGGCATAGATGTCATTTAAAATACACAAGTATACACCTAAATAATTATTAGAATGATAAAATTAGCAGATTATAATGTTAAATATGTTAGATGGTATCTAAGCTAACAGAAACGACCTTCAAACTTATTGTGTTGATATAATGTGATAAATGCTGTACCCTAAAAGTAAATATGAGTAGAATAATAAACTAACTTTTAATAAAAGTACCGTGGTGTATAGTACTTATTTTCGCAGATATAAGCAGTACGTAACACCACTCGGAAGTGGAATGTTTGAGAACAGAAGGTTGAGAAGATTGAAATGAAGAGTACAGTGGAAGAAACTTAATCAAGATAACAACAGGAACGAAGGAACAATCAAGCTTGTAAGAGACCATTCAAAGATGTATAAACAATGTATGATTTTCACACTTTACTAAACCACCCTGTCATTGCGTTAAACAAAAATTGATCTTCCCCATGTAGGTGTTCGTTCATTACAGTATTTCTTATCAAGAAAATCATGGAACAAAAGGAATACAAAACAAATCAGCTATTACAACAATCGATAAACATTTCAAAGTAGACAAAACAGAAAAGATTAAATCTCATAACATTTAAGTCAATTTTCCCTCTACGAATCACAAAGGCTAACCCATAAAACGTATAACTAATACATTCAAAGATTAAGGAAAGTTTAGCTTGAGAAAAACAAGACGGGAAAAAACACCAACCTTATAATTTGTTGGCAAAAACAGCACACCCAATTCATATGAACGAATCATCAATTGACTTTTTGATTTTTCATAGGCGCCCCAAGCAGATTTTGAAAGATTTGCACTGTCAAATGTAAAGCGAAAAAAACATTGGACATCAAAAATTAAAATCGATTCGTTTAGTTAATGCACTTCAAAATAATACACTATGCTGAATTTAGATTAGTGAAATGTTTTCTTTCAATTAAAAGTAAATAAAAAAAAATCAATTTTTTTTAATAATGTCAATAGAACAAATAAAGAAATTATTTTCAATCGGTTACACAGAATGGATTTACACCAATATACAAGTATCGAAATAAATAATACTGATTCACTAACTGCTGTAGAACTAGGTACGTAAGTGCACCGTACAGTTAATCACTGCACACCAAGACAAGTGATGTTTGCTGATGCAGGAGTAGTGGACAGGCAAACTAGGCTACAGCATCAGTCCATGAAGTTATTGACTGTTGGTTAGAGCTAAATTGGTAAATGCCGACTACCTGGTCGAAGTACATGCATTGACCAAGTTGACTGTTTAGAGACTTTGAGTGGGATGACTTAGAATTATCCATACTTGCTTAGATGTATTAACTGTTTACCTCCCTCGCAATTTTAGATATCATCGTATAGAGTTTTCCACCATGTCTTTTCAAACTATATGGCCAACGTTGTTACTACATAATTGGGATCCCTTTAGCTATTTATACATTTTTCATATCGTCGTGCTAATATAATATCCAAACTTCGGCCAGGGTACTTGTTCGCTAGGCTCTACATTGATTATGACTGACTGAGGTCGAGGTCACTTCTATTTGTCATATTTAGGAGAGTCCAGAAGTGTGGGTTAGTAAAGATCAACGTAAGTTAATTACATCACCGATTGTACGACATATATTAGATACAGGACCATTCTTCTCTCACTCATCCTTTGATATGATTTACAAAATTTAATTAAAGATGTCACGAGGTGTAGGGATTAACATACTTTATACTGCGGAAACTTTGGTCATTCAAAATCTTAAACCCAAGTTGAGCGTACAAAAACGATTTCTTAAACTTCTCTTTTTACGACAACATTAGCCTGTAATTTCAATTTATCTACGTAACTGTTCTTTTCTTTTTTTATTTTTCACCCGTTACTTCATAAAAAGAAAATTTTGACTATTTTTTTGCTATTATTACCAAAACAAACGCTGTTTCTACTCAGATTATTTAATTACTATCGGTACATTTCAACTTGACGATACTCATAGAAACAGATATTTGTTTATTCAAAATTATGTAGTCAAATTTCACGAAACAACTAAGCAAATTCTAAAAAACAAACAATCACTTGTTGACACATACTTTACCGCATAAGTAGACGATTATACGGCTTTCAAAATAAGCTTGTTGTAAACCATTCTTCCACTGACTAAATTGTTTTATGAAATAAATAATATTTTCATCGTTTAAATTATATGGATGGATCTTAACTCGATCATTGTTAAAATCTGGAAGCACTGGACGGTTGTTTCGTCTTGGTATGGAACTCCTCAACAGTGATTAGTACGAGTAAATTTAAAAGTAATCATAGAAATAATATTATAATAAAAAGAGTGATTCAGTAAATTTAAGAGAATGAAATAATAGTTAGGAAGTATCAAAGTTTATCGATGAAATAAATTAGAACAGGTTACCAATGGGTAACGTAATAACCAATAAAATAGAAGAACCATGACTGTGCAATTCAAATTGATTTGTAAGGTTTAATGAGAGTGGAATAGAGGAATAAATAAGAAAAAAGGCTATTTATTCACATTGATTACGTTAGAAAAAATGAAAAGTGACAATTGGGCGTGGAGAGTCACTTTTATATCTCCGGTCTACTTCTGTATACATCATTTGATTAGGTAAATGATTAGAATAAAGATAACATGCGGAAATAGTTTGGATGCAAAAACTAGGATTTTTTTAATACAACTTCCTTTATGTTCAAGGTTGAAAGTTCTGATTGCTATTATATATATATATATATATATATATATATATATATATATATATATATATATATATATATATATCTATTGATAAACTATAAAGGATAATAGTAGGAAATGTAAGAATCAACATATTATAGTTTGTATGCCTAGTTTAGTTAGCATTACATATTTACTTATATTCAATACCTAAACACGAATAAAATTTTGAAACTAGTTTTTGTTTTATCAAATCATAATCATCATAATAATAATCACTATCATAAAACAACGAATATATGTTACTAGAAATTTGACAAAGATTACTCGATCAATTCTGTCATATTCATTGACAACATAATTCTGTTCCAGGTTTTGAGGATGTTACCTGTCTATTTAACAAAGTAAACAAGTTACAAGTTATGAAGACTAAACTATCAAAATATTTTCAAAATAAATGGTGTAGATATAATTGTTTATCATATCTAACAACTGATATTTAACAGTTGTCTTCTGTAAACTTTCTTTTTATGAATGATTCTGCTACGAAAATACTACTCTAAATAGGTAGTAGAACAAAAAAACAATAAAGAGATACCCGTATCAGGAGTAAAATAATTATTCTGTATGAAAATGGACACAATATATGGTTGATCAGTTATATTGTATGGATAGAATAAATTATACATATGATTTCACTTAAAACAGAAAGAGAGAAGAATTATTTCCATATCATAGTTTACGACTTAATCTCTTGAAGGAACTAAAAATTTTGTCAGATATAGTAAAAACTTTGATTGAAGAAATTATACTATTGTTAATGTTAAGTACACTACATTTTTCTTTAGATATTTGTAATAGATTGTATTTTAGAACTTATTAGTATGTTAGTGAACATCTTGTCTTTTTTTCATCGCAGAAGATGTCTTTACCAAGAGATGTAACAATTGGAGGTAAAGGAATTAGACACCATTGGATTCTAGTTGAATGGTCTCGAGTTCAAGTGTTCGCACGCGAGACTGAAGGACCTGAGTTCAGATCCCGCATGCAGGAAAGTGAATGTACACTGATGGGGAGTCCCATATTGGGAGAAAACGGTCGTCCAGTGCTCCTAGGTTTTCATTGGTGGTCTAACATTGATTTCAGTGAGATTAAGAAATATAGCCCACCAAATCGATAATCTAGTTTCGTTAGATTTTTAAAAATACAAATACATTTATTACAAAAAGTCTTGTGTTTAGTAGGTCAGCTCAGTGTTAAGCTTTCAAACAATTAATTTCATATTCATTTAAATTACTTACCTGGTCAGAAGAAACCATCCTATTTGTTGACCATCTGGTGACATTCTAGTGTATGACTTAATGTGAGGTGCTGCTCGACTATGGTTAAAAGCTTGCCAACGATAAAAGAACTGACAAAGCCATGGTTGTTTTTCAGCTGTTCTCTTTGTATATGGTAAACATCCACCAGCAAAATAACCTTCCAAACTATTGCGAACATCTTCAACAGATGGATAAATCTGTAGATGCATACCACAACAGGGAGAAATTAAATAGCGCATATCATCAAAAGAATTATATATATATATATATATATATATATATATATATATATATATATATATATATATATATATATATATAATATTTAAAACTAATAATTACTTATGATCATCGAATTGCTCCATGAAATGACTGAAATTCAATCATAGTCAGATTAGAATATGAATTTAAGGAATATTCATTCCGACTTAGAAGCTGGTTAAATGAGCTGTAAGTTACTGATTATTATAGTGACATAATGTTTAATCATTTAATGCTCAAATTGAAGATATGATCAAAAGAATTCAGACACTAGGGAGAATTATGCAGTAGGATACTTATAAGTATCATTTAGTTGATAGATTTTTGTACATAAATGTTTGTTTATCGAAACATCAAACCAATGGGTAATTACTGATATTCAATCGACAGCTTAATAAATAGAAATCTGCAGATAATCCCTAATTGTTAACTGTTCTGTAGTACATACGATAGGTATCGAGAAAGTAATTATTTTTCGTTACAGGATTTGATAGATGACTTTTTAATCGTTACTCTATTCAAAACCGTGCTATATATATTCTTTCTAGTCAGAAATGAAAAACTCATAACGATGGACTTTTAATAGGATAAAATCATTGACGAATAGACTATGCTTATTATTTGAACATGTGAATAATATCCAGGTTAAAACGTTTCCAACAGACTTCAATGACGTCTTGAAGACTTCTGAGATCGAGATATGTATTCCACGCCTAATGAATACATTCCACAGAGTAAAACAGAGCTGGATGTATCTCAATATTTCCGCCAGTAACATAAGTGATGTATTAAGAAACAAAACAAATGAACGATTGGTATCTTTGCTCACCATCAGGTTTGATATCTCAAGGCCACAAGCTCGAAAATATCACCCTCCATTACAAATCAGTTTTCGATACAAATCGGTACAATAACATCCTCTAACATTTGACAGGCGAAAAACGCATTCTTTATATATATATATATATATATATATATATATATATATATATATATATATATATATATATATATATAAAGAATAACTATTTAATTTGGTTCGATTACATCACATAACATTTAGAATGACTGAAATGACTAGAGACTCAATAAACTACAATTAAGAAATATTTTAAGCCGATCATTATCATGGCCATACCGCATATATTATCCGTAAGTTTATTGAGAGCTCATCACTGGAAAATACCGTGAGTAAATGTGAACAAAGAAACAGTGATTTATTATACTTGACGAGAAACAAGATAAGAACTTTTATGCTGTAATTTTAAGAAAAAATAAAACCTTTCATACAAAAAGTATGCTAAAATAGTAATCAAGATGACCTGAATATACTCACCATTCGTAAGCCTCTGGCACCTTTACCGGTTAAACTTGAAGACCACTCAGTGGTAAACCAATCGGTAGGCTTAGGACCTAAAGAACCAATGCTTGAAAACTGTCCAATCACCGGCCAAGACGAAGGTATTTGACTATTGCATGTTTGTAACACCTAGTATGAAAGAAAAAAGGTACTGGAACCACGATGTTTAACAGTACAAAAATATATTTATCGACCACAGTTTTATGTTTGTTAGAACATAGAAATTACTGATTACAAGCCTAAATGACAGTGTATAACATTATTTTATGTTTATGAATAATCCAATATTGTTGTGGGTAAACAATTAAAGTTAGTATATAGGAGAAACAAAAAACATGGTACTTAGCTTTGATACTATAGTGACTGTATCAAATTCGAATAGTTTAACAAACATAATAGTGATCAGACAATAATGAAAGAAACCACATTCCAAGTAAATAAAGTGGTCATGTTTTATAGAGGCAATGTATTGAACGATATGCACTGCCTAATTAAATCATACTTATTATTGATGTAACAAGTAATAATTAGGAATTGATAACTAATAAAAATGTCTACTTCACTAAAAGGATTGATAAATATTCACTTTATACTTTCACAATTATACTAAACTCATTATAAATATAGTAACCATACTTCTCCTAAACGTGTATGACCAAATTTCTTTAGTGACTCTCCAGCATGCCTTCCGGATACTGACGCAATTAATACAACCCTTTAAAATAAACGAAAAAAACATGCAAAAGATAAAGCATTTTACACAACAAACGTTGATGACACTATTTTTCCCTGCAAACTACTGGTTACCACTGCAATTCATTATATAATTTACTTTTGAGTTGGTTTAGGTTTTTAGAAACTTCTAAACTGATTTACTACAAACTGTAAAAGCTATTCTCGGTTTAAAGGAGTTATCAGTAGATTCAATGAGTGTAATGACTGCTGTTGAGAAAGATCCTATTTTTTCGAATAATCCAGCAGAATTAGTTGAATAAACAGCTTTCTGAATGGACATTTTAAAAGTATATGGACACTCAACTATGACTACTCAGTCAATCATTAGCTACGTAGAACCTGGTAAGATATCATTAAAAAAGTTGCTGATGAAAGCCTTTTAGAAATTAAATTGTAGAGATACCATGTAGATTGAAATACACATCGAAAATTACCTGTTATAAATTATAATACCTGTAAAGAACACAAACTACAACTTAGTTCTTCGTTTTATTCTCTTCCACAGAAACACCTACTCGTGATGAGACTTCACAAAATATTTTCCCATACTTTAACAAATTAGAATTAACGGTGGATACAAACGTAAAAAATATCAACCAAACAACGTAGCGACTATCCAAATAATAATGATTTACAGAGCATAGAAGCATGACTGATAAATCGGTCATTACGGTATGTTTTGTAATAACAGCTTCCTACTCTCATAGCCCCGACTGTTCTAAAACATATTTGTACAAGGAACGTCTATCGGGTAAAGATTCCACAAGATTTCATTTACATTCGTGTTCATTTAGTTATACACCGGTAAAATCCAGTGATTATAAGTTACAAAAATTACAAAGTCAAATTAAAAATAACCGAGAATACAATAAAGTTCGTTGAAAATCAAAGGATATAGTTCACATTGAATTATTAAGAAAATTAACTGAATGAAGATCAGGGTACGTTAAGTACCTATTTTTTACTGTTCGCTATATTGAGTAGTAAGGATTTTGAGATATATCATCGTTCTTTCAGTGAGTGGGTGCTGCATATAAGTGTAATTTCATTGAAGATTTTTTTTAAAAACTCAACTTTCACTTTGTTTTTTCATCTACGATGTAAGGATGCACTACATTGGTGTACTCATAGGAGACAGATGTGGTTAACTTCGGGTGCTTGAAATGAATTCTCCCGTTAAAATTACTTTCTTATTACAGCACTCACCCACTGAATGAATGGGTAAATGCTCGAATTTCTGGATATTGTACATTTGTTGGACATTGAAAAACGGATGGACAACTTCACAATCACAATCAATACATAACCTTTTACTCAATTTTTATACTAAATTCAGGTTATAGATTTATATCTCCAACATATTGGTGCTCCTTCTAGAAGTGCTGTGATTCCCTTCCGATAAAGGGTACAAATAATAGTTAATTTATAAATAAAGGACGAATGGGGTTAGCATGTTTGATATAATAACTATGATCCATTTCAATAAAAAACATCAAATTTCTGTTGTACAATCTAAAATAAATAAATAAATATACACGAATTAAACGTGTTACCAAAAACACTTACTTAATTGGTCGAAAATCATAACTGTGCAAACAATTAATCCATTCAAATAAGGGTGAACTGGTTGACTGGGTTAAATCCCTTCCATATGATTTTAAATACTCAAGTAGATCTGCACGAAAATTAGTTCTCGAATCTGTATCATTCAAGTTCTTCTGTTGTTCTACGCTTAATAACTTTAATTTCGGGCTAATCCAAATTCTCAAAAGTAGAAAAATGAAAAGTGAATTCCAAAATCATTGTGTGAATATAACTTAAGCATAATTTATTTATTTATTTAAACACATGAATATTGGTACAAGGAAGCACCAGATACATATGCGCTTCACAAATCTCATTTGATTTGTATGAGGGCTGGGATACTGTCGAGGTGGTTTTATTAGGGGCCACACTCCGATCCTTCGACCTAAAGGCCTGACCCACAAGGCAATGGAGCATCGTGAGGAGATACAGTTCCATGGTAGACGGTGATCAATGATTGATTCGTACGCCATTTGTTCCCACAGGATACTGGAGCCCATGTGCACCATTGGTTTGGAATCAGGGTTTTCCAACTCCCCTAGGTGGACACTCCATATCCACCAACCCGGTTAAAGCGCCGGACATTCGCTTTTCGTCCTCTCAATTTCGTAAACAACAGTAATTCAACGAGAAGGTAATGAGTAGGACTTCCTGGCAGAGGCTATATATCCGCTGGCCATGTGAGAGCATTTCGAGAGGGAGAGCGGACTTTCCCCACTCTCGGTCGTACTAGGGCATTTGGGGGCACTTAAGCATAAGGATAATAAATTCAAAAATCAATCCATGTTTGAACATCTAATTCGAGTTTGGACAATCGAGTAGTATCATTAACCCTTACATTTCGTGTGTGGCTCAAACTCGAATACCAGTTGAATAAGTAAATAGAATTTTTGAAAAACTTTATTTTTTCTCCATCAAATAATGGTATGATTATTAAGGTAAATGCCTGATTCGATATATCCAATGATCAAACTTAATGAAACTCTTACACTTCTATGTCTAAACACGCTCGGAAATTTGGTTACTTTACTAAACTAGAACCAAATAATAAATAAATAAATTTATTCAGATTTACAGTGCAATCAATCATCTAATTAAGTATAGTGTTATTAAATCTTATTTATAATTCACAGAAAAGTAAACAACACTATAGATCAAAATGAAGCATAACAACATAAACTCAATTATTCCGTTGAAATTTTTCCACAGACACTTACTAAAACCTAGAATAATTATAGTTTATAAACATATAAAGATAAATATTGACATTGAATAATTGATTGGTAGGGAAATGTCATGCAAAATGAAGTGTGAGTATAACGAACCTTTTTAAATGTTTCATAAGAGTGCAATATCTAACATTTTCGAGCATCTTTACATTCATCGAGTGTCTCATCATTGCATATAAGGGTGTAATTTTAAATGAGGACATCATTTTAATTATATGCAGTTATTTTTTGTGAACATGCTACCGTACCTTATGCCAACCTGGGGGACAAAAAAAGCTGACTGTTGAAGATATATTAGCTAATAATCATGATTCAATGACCTATAAGCGAATGTATAGATCACTGAAAATAATTTCATTGTATAAATGCCTTAGGTGTAATATAAAATATATTTACAGGAGTTTGCTATATAGCTAAATGATACATCAAATATCAACACCATTAACCATAATTTTTGTTGACTATTAAACCGCCTTCCACAATATTGTCTTACCCTTGAGTTCTTCGATCCCAATCATCCGATATCATATTCGCTGTATGAATGATAATTTGTAAACCATCTTTATATTTGAGCATCATCATTTTTCTAAAATTAAACAAGCAGAAGTTTTGAAGATAATGTATACACTAATCGCTTTGAAAACGTAATTTCAACATGACCAGTACATGAAAAATTTACAGTATCAGAGCACGTCCCTGAATGTGAGAAGCAATTTTTTCTCCATGACCAAAGTACAATAACAGTTCTCCTGAATCTAATCTTTGCAGTCACCATTGGATTCAATTGATCTCACTTGTTCCGAGAACCGTCAAGTTGTATCACTTAATTTCCGTTTCAATTTGATCGGTCCTCCCAGTCTTCCACATTGTACGGACATTCCATATACTTATATTAACTGTTTCTCTGGTTGTTAGACGGAGCACCGGCCTCGTGACTTCCAAAGAATACTGGCTCTCATCATGAGGCGTCATAATTCTTCTGAATGAAGATCCTTCAACTCAGAGAGCAGAGTTTAAATGATTTAATCTGTCTATTCTGGTTAGCGTATTTTTAGAAAGAGCATTTTCTACGAGATGGGGATGCTGACCACTATGCTTAACCCTCCTTCTTTACCCGGGTTTGGGACCGGCAGTAACTCTAGAAGAGCTATAGACGGAGAAATGGTACTTTAAAATCAACGCACATATGAATGAATGAAATCAAGGGATAGTACTGTTTATTGTCACATGTATTAATATTTCTAAACCTGATGCAAGATACCTGTTAGTCGTATGTCGTAACCAGAAAACGCAGTTGAATAAAAATCCATATTTAATGCCCCAGTCCTTTTGAACCTGTATGATATTAACTTATCTGCAATTTATACGTCAAATGCTTATCAGTAAAATACGACGATAATCTATCTCTCATAAGTTATAATGTTATGTATAACTACTCATCTGATGTATCAAGCTAGTATTGTTCGAAATACAGCTCAATTTTCACCATATTGCTTCATTTACTTATAACAAAATAAACACATTATACGTTACATATATTGTCATTATTTTAGAAATATATAGATTGAGGTTAATATTATTGGCATCTACAGTGAAGATTCATGCAAACTCTGTTAAGTAAGTATTATGTGTAGACGTGTCAATTACACTACCAGATAACCGATCTCTACTACAACTGATGACCAGACCACCTCGTTGCAAATATGGTACTGCCGTTGAATGCAAACAATACTATGATAACAACGGTGAAGAAACACAGAAAACTGTACTCAATGAGATATTTATTGTACGGTAGCTTTATGCCATGGAAGTGTCAAAGGTGGACCACTTTAAATTAAGTTTATTAATTTTGGTCAATTTCATTTCCAAGGATGCCATGATCATTAATACGCTATTTCAAATGGTTGAATACCAAAAAATGATAGTGGCTAATTTTATCAAAGCTCTACTGATACCGAAGATACGTTTTTGACAAACTATGCTTTACTTATTAATCGGACATTAACTCGGAAAGGATTTTATTCATTTACGAATACAAACTTTTTAACTGAGAGAATTATTTGTTATAAACAACTTACGTATGATGTACACCATATGGCAAACGTATATCGGCCTTGAAATAAAAAGAAAATGAAAAACCAATTGTATATATGTATATCTAATATTTTACGAAATTATAGTTATTAAGAAGTAAAAGTGAGTGAATCACATAATATTCAGGTAGATAAGAAATAATAAAGGATGCACTTCAAACGATGACACGACCTAGTTGAACTTCATTCAGTGTGAAAACGGGAACCACAATAAGAAACTATGAAAGGCTCTTAGATGAAGTCTATCCTAAACTAAATCAGGAACTGCATCAAGTTTAACTTGCCAGAATTTTAGGGTAAAATTTATATGATTGTGAAATGTTAATAGATGATAATTTGACACAATTATTTTCCATTTTGAAGCATGAGGTCGTAAAATCACTGACTATTTATTCTTCTCACCCAGCTCTTATGTCACTAAACAATGCTTAATATGTAACATGGTACAACGAAATGCATAAAGCGACGGAGAATCACAAAGTTCAGTGTTTCAACATGACAACTTAATAGATAATTATCTTCACACATGTATCGACTTGATGTGTCACAATTCATATCAGCATATGTGGATAAAATTATAAAAAACAGGAATACCATAAGTAATAAACATCCAAAGAAAAAATTAATAAAACTGAGGAATTAAAAGTACATAACAGCATTTTAAAACTCCGCCTGTAGCTCCTCCGGGGGTTACTGCCGGTCCCAAGCCCGGGTAAAGGAGGAGGGTTGGGCATGGGGTTAGCGATCCCATCCCGTAGAAAACTAACTCGCTAAAAAAACGCTAATCAGAAAAAATTCTGGTCGGCGGCCTATGCTCCATTGGGGGTAACAGGCGTAAGTAAGTAAGTAACAGCATTTTAAGTTTCACAGAACAGTGAAAAACAAATGTTTAATTCCACAATGATCCAATACTCTAAATTTTTTAAATATTTACAAACAATCTGATTATTCCCCTTGGTCAAACGTCGTTCTTACCCTTTAAAATGATCGTGTAACCGGTTCATCTTCGAGTTTCGCTGGAAGGGTTCCACATTTTTAGGTCGGTAAATGTTGGCCAAGTAAATGGAACAAAACAATTTAATAGAAATTAATGGAGTAGTGGATCAGACATATCATACTGAAAGTGTTCCAGAAATTCTTGAAGCTTATTTCACAAGCTTCTTGTTGTTTAGGGGTACGATGACTTCCAGCAGTTGTCAGTTACAGCTTAAATCACAACAGATCACTCGGATTATCAATTCGCAGTCCTTGAATGTAAACAAGTTGTATTCAGTGTCTCAATGCTGATTTGGAAATCTGATGGAAACGTGAATGCCGAAATGCGTTATATAGGCTGGTTACCGTGAAAAAGGTTTTATCCCGACACTGGAAATGTGAAATGAACTAAGATATGTCCATACAAAAAGGGCAACATTTTCATTTAATTTAATTCTCTTGTTCGCTTTCATTACGAAGTAATTTATGTAGATTATCATTACTTGAAAGATGGATTGTCAACTATTAATCGACCACTTTGTCCTAGTATGGAACACCTGAGAGTTCATCCAAAACCCCACTGAAAATCGAACCCACGACCTGCAAGTATCACAGCGAACGCTTAAACTTTTAGATCACCGCGTTAATGGTTGTGTGGTGTGAACCTCTTATGTACTTACTTAATTACGCCTGTTAACCTTCGTGAGGGAGCATAAGCCGACCACCAGCACTCTCCATCCAACTCTAACCTGGACAATCCTTTTCAGTTGCTATTCATCCTTTTCATGTCTACTTCCATTTCCCGACGTAATGTGTTCTTTCATCTTCTTCTTTTCTGCTTCCTTTCAAGTTTCCAATTTAGGGCTTGCCTCTTGATGCAGTTTGGTGATTCCCTCAATGTATGCCCTATCCACTTCCAACGTCTTTGCCTAATCTCCTCTTCAGTTGGAAGCTGGTTTGTTCTCTCCCACAGTAGGCTGTTGCTGATGGTATTCAGTCAACGGATATTGAGTATCTTGCTTAGGCAACTGTTTATAAATATCTGTACCTTTTGATAATTGTTGTAATAGTTATCTACGTTTCAGCTCCGTACAGTAGGGCAGTCTTGACGTTCGTATTGAAAATTCCTATTTTGATGTTGTTTGACAGTTGTTTTGAGTTCCATATGTTCTTCAATTGTAAGAATGCGGTCCTTGCTTTGTTGATCCTCGTCTTTGAGTCTGCATCAGATCCTCCATGTTCATCAATGATGCTTCCCAGGTACATGACAGATTCCACATCTTTCAGAGCTTCTCCACCAAGTGTGATTAGGTTAGTGTTCTCCGTGTTGTATTTGAGGATCTTCCTTTTTCTTTGTGTATATTGAGGCCGACTGATGCAGAGGATGCTGTTACACTAGTTGTCTTCATCTGCATTTATTCGTGTGTATGGGATAAGAGGGCCAGGTCATTTGCAAATTTCAAATCTTCTAATTGATTCCAAGCTGTACAATGTATTCCGTGTTTGCTCTCAGATGTCGAGGTCTTCATAATCCAGTCGATCACCAGAAGAAAGAGGAAGGGGGAGAGTAAGCAGCCTTGTCTTACTCTGGTTCTTACTGAAAGTGCATCTGTCAGCTGTCTTCCATGCACCACTTTGTACTGTAGTCCGTCGTATGAGTTCTGGATAATGTTGACGATCTTCTCAGGTACACTATAGTGTCGAAGAAGTTTTCATAAGATCCTCCAATACACACTGTCAAACACCTTCTCATAGTCAATGAAGTTGATGTATAGTAACGAGTTCCATTCATTTGATTGTTCAACGATGATCCGTAGTGTCGTGAGTTGGTCAGTGCACTATCGGCAGATATAATTAGTATGTATCAGGAATAGGAATTGGTATGCTTATCAGCAGGAGATTGAAATAAAGAGAAAAGGAAAGTAATTGGCGAGCAATGAGATCAACAACAGAATTAGAAAAGTGATGGGCTATGTAAAGTACAACTCAATAAAGATATGCAAATGATGTATTTAATGTATAATTTTCAAATTTTACAAAGACACTGTGTGATTTTGCATAAAACAATAAATTGATTTATCGTACCTGAGTTTTTGTTCACTACAGTTGTTTAACTAACATTAGTCCATCATAAAAACTATGGAATTCAGTAATCTTCACAAACCTATATTGTAAATTAATTAACCACTGAATAGATAGATGTGTAGTGAACAAAACACGACTGGGGGACAATCGAATGTATTTAAGCAAAGATTACAGACTATCTCAGTAAATTCTGAAAACCATACAATGTACAGTCAATTTGCAAATTAACAACCAATAGTCTCGATCTTCACTGTTTCTTCTCTAATTCCATTGTTCGTACATTTTCCTACCGATTGCGCTTCGTTTCAGTTCTTTCGTCATCGGTCTTCTGCCAAAATACATTCTATGTCTGACCAACACCATATACTAGTTATATGGATATGAGTAGATCACACCACAGATGTAGTAACTTTTGAGAAATATTCTCAATAAATATACATATTAATTATCAGAAGGTATTTTGTGGAGATTTAGTACTTATCATAGTTGAAAGCGTGAGTCAATTGAAGCTAGACCACCATGGAAAACGTGGAAACACTGGACGGCCGTTTCGTTCTATTATGGGACTCCTCAGCAGTGCGCATCCACAAACCCACGAATCTCGCGAGAGCGGGTTCGTGGATACGCACTGCTGACGAGTCCCATAATAGAACGAAACGGCCGTCCAGTGTTTCCACGTTTTCCATGGTGGTCTAGCTTCAATTGACTCACGCTTTCAACTATGATAAATATACATATTACTTTTTTCTAAACAATTCAAACAACTACATACTTGACAAGTTCGGATATTACTGTATTTTGCAACAGATTCATCTAATGATTTCTTCATTTTTCCTTGAAAACCGTGTACAATAGTGAGTGGTAGTGATCTAAAAAAAACAAAAATTCTAAAATATATTTTGAAAAAAAACTAATAGATGAATACTACATATGAATACAACATTAAAATTGATCAAAATAAAAGTAATACAGGTGCACAAGTACCTATCTAAAGAATTATTTATATCAGTATACAGTAGTGGAGATTGTTGACCTTTCTATTAAGATCACTAACTGATCAATATTAGACCAAAGTTTGAAACCTGAAGGTACTGGACAGCTGTTTTGTCCTAGTATATAACTCCTCAGAATTTCGCATCCACGATTCTGTACGCGGGACTCCAATTCAGGACCCTCGTTCTCCTGCGAACTATTAACCTCTAGATCAATGGTTTAGAGGTTCATGATCTCAATACAAACTAATTATATGATAAAATGAACATTAACTAATTATTTAAATAGAACCGCTAACTTGATCGTTGGAAGAAATATTAATAAATAAACTGAGACAAGTAAAAATTAAAAATTTGAATGTACATGATGATAATCACCACTTCAGTAGCATAGATCATACAGAAATGTGTTTTAGAATATTCTAAATTATTATGACATCTAATGTCTGAATTCTTTAAGGTAATGAAAATACTGAAAAGTTGATTTTTAGAAAAACTGCTAATTTACTTAAATCATAGTATATACTAACCTGAAGCGCTCTGGATATTGTTCTCTTAGCCATGGTATATCAAACATGAAATTAAACTAAAGATATCAATGGAAAGATACAAAATATTTGAAATCGTCAAGCCATATCAAAATTTTTAACGGTACTTTAAAATATAATAAAAGGGTAGTTGTACAATAAAAATCATAACGACAAGAAAATATTATAAAACGTGGACCATGAGAAGGCTGGACGATAAGATAAGTGAAAAATGACAATTATTTCTATCAGCAATAATTTATAATCAACGACAAGCTATTTACCGACAGGTTTTGACTAGATTCTGTCGATTAACTATCGACTAATAATCATTTATACTGGAGCCCATGTACACCATTGGTTTGGAATTAGGGTTTTCCAACTCCCCTAGGTGGATGGGCCGTGTCTACCGACCCGGTTAAAGAGCCGGACATTCGCTTCTTGTCCTCTCAAGTTCGTAAACAACAGTAATGCCACGAGAAGGCAGTGAGTAGGACTTCCCTGTGAGAGACTACATACGGGTGGTCATGTGAGAGCATTTCAAGAGGGAGAGCAGACTCTCCCCCCCCACCAGGGCACTTGGGGGCAACGGAACTAGATGACTCAATTGTATTAATATTAATAACTATGACATTAATTAGGCGGAATATTGATCTTTAAGAAAACAAGTTTACAGTTCAACATATGATAACAAATCTACAGTATACATATTTCATCGCTGAAAAATAAGAACAGAGTTGTCAATATATTTAACTCAAAATTACATACACACTAAGTAAACATATTAACTATGAATTTTAAAAAAGTTGTTTGTATTATTTATTATTACTTAAACACATAAACATTGGTACAAGGAAGCATCAAATAGATATGCGCCACATAAATAATTCGATTTGTGTGAGGGCTTGGATACTGTCCAGGTGCGCAAACTGAAACAGGTGGTTTTCTTAGGAGGCCACACCCGGAGCCTTCGACTTAAAAGTCTAATCCATAAGGCAGTGGAGCGACGTAAAGACATGCAGTTCTATGGTAGTCGATGACCAATAACTGGTTCATACGCCATATGTTTCCCCAGGATACTGGAGCCCATGTCCACCTTTGATTTGAAATTAGGGTTTTCTAATTCCCCTAGGTAGACCCTCCGTGTCCACTAAACCGGTTGAAGTGCCGGACATTCGCTTTTCGTCCTCTCAATTTCGTGAACAACACCCCCGCAGCGAGATTGCAGTAAGTAGGACTTCCCTGGCAGTAGTTGCATGCACGTGGCCATGCCAGGGCATTCGGGGGCTAAGACCATTTTGTGAACTTGACCATGAAAGAATAAATGATTAGTAAAGGTTAGTTAAGTGGTTAAAAAGAAGCTTTGGAAAAATAAATTGAGTTAAAGGCATATTCATTATATTTGTCAAGAAAATTTCAACTTACCTGAATTGAAGATACGAGTTCACCATCAGAAGAATTAAGAATCTCTATAGAAATGGAAAACAAATACGGTAAATAAAAAAATTACGAACTACATAATGTTATATATATCAAATAAAGACATTACTGGAGATAAGAAACTATCAAATAGGGATCCAATAGAAGGCTGGTATTTACCAGTTAATGTTGTTAATCTCTTGTAGGAATGGAAATCAATAGAACTCAACCTCATCACATAGCTGTTATCGGACCGAAGGACCAAGTATTAAAAGTCAACACTAATGGTTGAAATCACTTAATGGGATACGACGATTACTGATATATTTTACAAAATTAGGTCGATACTACTGTACTTGACCGTGTTATTAACATGGATTGATTTTCACTGTTAGTTTAATTATATAAAACTTCAAAGACTGGGAGATTGTTAACGAAATCTCCATTCACTTTTTTAGTAGATCAGGGACTCGGTGACTAAAGCCTTCGACCTTCATTCGTTAAGTTTCAGTTTTATGCCCAGCTCCACCTACATCAGGTTGAGCAAATTGTTGGTATCACTGACCTCATTTAGAATTTCATTTACCGACAAGTACACAAGGTCTCACCTGGTAAACAAGTCAATAAGCAAGTAGTCTCTTTCAACGAACATTCTTAAAGTGAATTCTTATTAAAACATTTTTGTTACACAAAACAACTTCAATACAAACTTGCGGAAAAAGAATAACAATAAGATATCAAGTCAGTTGTAGAAAAATACTGATAGATCAGTACGAAATCAGTACTTCCAGATATTAAGGAATCGGTGATCAATCTGATCATTGATGTACATCTAGCGTACAGTAATAAACGAAATCAATATAGGTGAGAGACTCTGAGGTGGGTTAATGACTGACAATTAAATTTTCTCATCAGTCGACCGTATTGTTAAGCCCAGTGCAAGCAGACTGATATATGTCTAAGTGGTAGGAACATCAGACTCAACCACAAAATCGATGGTTTAAACTCATTGCTAACTACTTCAGATTGAACAACTTGAACTCATAGGTAACATGAAAGACTCAAATACATTCATATGATGAACTATAGCTAAGACGAAACGTATAATGAACTTCACTACTGTGTTATAAAATATTAATAACTTACCCTTTAAGGTTATTGTAGGAATTTTACCGTACTTTACACCAGATACGCGAAAGAGATAAATGCCATAGAAATTTTCATTGGTTGATACTTCTGAATCTTTGGTGCTGTTTGAGTTCGTAATATGGGGCCCAACCAATACTTGATTATCTGTTAAATATATGGGATACCCTAGTGAGTTCATTAAATAACTATGACAACGCTGATAGAGCTGTATAACATAATCCAGAAATAAAAATAGATCATTTCATCACAACCTTTAATTAAGATTGGAATTCAAAAATCATATTATGCAACAAAACCTTATAAATGCCGTTAATCAAGATAAGTAGAAATTATTTGAAAACAACCAAGTCTCTGATCATTATTAAGAATTGTTACAAGTTGACTGAATGTAATTGTACTCTGTGACTACGATTCAAACGAACTAGTTGGATATTTACAGCAGTGAAAGACTATTTCTTCTCACTAATCCATATGAACTGAAATATTTGAGTGGTCAATTTATAGAAATACGGACAAAATAAAGAGGAAGGTGAGTTTAACAAATTCAGCTAAGAGACAATATATTCGATAGTGTATGAAACCTATCGGCTCTAACAAGATGTATATAAAACAAAACAGACTATATAGATTTTAGCATGCGACTAAATGGTTAGAATTTGAGTGACTAGATTACTGGATATCTACACCAAAAATGACACTGTTCAGATTATTGGGAATACATGATATGAATTGATTTGTACACATCCAATGTGAAGAAGTGTAGACAGATATTCACAGTTTATTTAAACGAAAGCCAAGCAAAATCTTTAGTGACCGGAAATCAAATTACTCTTCATAAACAGTTAGGTCGAGTATCATAACGAGTATAAATTAAATCGATAATCACTAAGGTACTATTCACAATCATTTCCTGTTCATATGTGGAAAACTAACCTGGATGATAAAATTCTTCAAAGTGCTGAGGATTTTTTCGATAACAATCTCTCCCATACTTACATGTTGGTTGATTTGGTCCAACGTCAGGATTCGTTGACCGTTTTGTAGAAAAGTTTATCTATAAATACAAAATATTGCCGACCATGTTAAAAATTTCCTTCTAAATGAACAATCAGTATGATAACAGAATACTTTTGATGATAATGGAAAACAGATAAGTATTTTATGTTGTCGATGCCTGACTATTTATATTTTCACTGTCGAACAGGTTTCCCACACGTCTCAAATTGCCATATAGTGGATATCAGCCTCGAACAAGACTATACTTGGAATAAAACGACAAGCACAACAGCAAGTTCAGACGAAACAACTGTTCAGTTATTCCTGGTTCCTATTAGTTCAGCAGATATCAGTATGTGCTTAAGACTACTTGAAAATTCCATAAAACCAATCAATTCACTAGAGTGTACATAAATTTACATAAATTTTTAACAAATCTTCATTTTATTATATTAGTTGAATAACTTAAGATCAATATAATTGAATAAAAACACCATCCAATGTGTTAGATGTGAATCTGCTGTACACCACTTGATAGATGAACATACGAAAAGCATTCACAACTGTTTATAAAATACTCTTTATCGACTATTAATTCATTTTCGCTCTATTTATCAGTTACACACGGAAATTACAACTGTGCACATAAACTCACTGATAAAAGACATTAATTTACACTAAAATATTACATTGACTTCGCCCAGTTTACTCTGTTAGTTAAAAAGATATCAGACTACTTATTAAGTGTACTTAGTAAACGTCCCAATTTGGGTTATCTATAATACTTTTACATCATTTTGATTTTATTTCAGCTAACGTGGTGCTCTACTATGAACGTAAGTCTTATCCCAGTTTATCATAAAAAACAACAATGATGCCCTTTAGATTCGATTATTATGGGTTGATCGCAAAGTAGGGCATGGTCCTTCTATTAGTGGCAAGAAGTGAAGCTTTATCTGTGTCACGAGCGAAAGCACGGGAATGTTTGGGATGCTTTGTATGGATGTGCGAGACATGATACACTTGTTTTACTGCTTAGAATTGTTAAGCTTTTATAAATTATAATGAGACATTTTTGAAATCGCTAGTTTTAAACCAACATTGAAAATAAAGAAAATTATTGAACATGATTTTTGACGAAAGCGCACTGGTTTAGCTGGTATACTTTGGTGGAGAAATGTGTAATTCCCCGGTAGTGCCCTAAATCGGAATCGCTCTTTTCACAATGATGGGGTGAATTGTTTGCTACCCGCTTCGGTTTGTGTATTTTTATGGTGCCAGTAGAGGTTGACCTGATGGGTATTCCCTGTGATTTATGTATTCCAACCGTATTACTTATAAGTAGCTACTAATTTCTTGCACAATTTTTCAGCTGCCAGTTGCTTATATGGAGTGATTATTATTTATTAGGCCATATTGAACTAGCCACTGTATTCTTTGACTGTGTTGACAGCTATTAATAGTTTTGTCCCTTTTAGTGTAAGTCAGTATCGTATAATGGATATGAATATATGACATACATACAGAATTTTAAGTATTTTATCTAGGCATTTGAAGGATTAACTAATGTGACAAATGACGTTCACAAAATATTTCACAATAAAATAGTGATCAAGGTTTACGAGAGAATGCATAAAATGGTGTGAAACAAACTATGATTAAGTTCTAAATCGGAATGCCGGTTAAGATCGCTATTATTCCGAATGCTGTGCAGTGTACCAGGTAATGTGAAGGTATAGTAATCAGTTCTCGTGAAACCCATTAAAGAGAGCATTAAATGTATACATCTGTCCGAAAAACCGATAAATCAAACGCTAAACAGATAGTCAGGAGATGTACGCGATAGAAAAATCAAGTGAATCACTGAGAGTTCATAATAAGGTTACAGTACAATCCTACATTATTACTAACGTTTTTAATAGGGACAATTACTTCATACATGAAATTTTGGTTTGAATTAAATTTAATTCATATTGAATAGAAAATAATATACTATACAAAAATTTTATTATGGGTGAATGTAAACATTAATTTAAGGGGAAATAAGAAGAAATTAACATGTAAACAACAAGAAGGGCTATCCATGTAAGTTTAACCAATAACTGTAAAGTACACCAAAATGAACGCAAATACAAAGATTACCGTAGGCAATAAATAAAACAATTAACATATAATTATAAACTAAATTCATAAATCTTGAAACCCTATCCATTTAATTTTTAATGTGACTTATATTTATGATCATGAAAAGAATCTGATGTACAAAATTACGTAATATAGATACAGATATAATTGGTAAAAACAAGTTATTGCAAAATATCGTCTATAAGTTTTAGAATCAACGTCTAGACATCTTCCATGTCGTCATCATCCTCATCTTCGTCTTCATCATCACCATGATCTTCAATAATTTCGTCAGGATCCACTAGTTCATCATTTGTATCATCACTATGAGCCATGGGATGCTCATTGTTCACGCCAATTACTGAAGAAGCCATTTCACGGCTATCACTAATTAGAGTTCTGATCAAGGTTGACGAACCCATGCGAGAAGCTCCATCACTTCTAAACTGACGGTTTAAAATGCTAGAGACTCCGGAAGATGGAGTATGCTGTCGATGGCGTAAAAGTCCCCCTGGACCGCCTGGTACAACATAACCACGAGATGCGGCTGCACGAGCATAATGCTGAGTATCACCAGGCACAAATCCACTATTAGAAACAGATCCAGAAATATGACCACCATCTTCATCGTCTGGACTTCGATTCAAATAAAGCTGCCGTAAACCACCTTCATTTACATTTGTATTCGCTGTATCGAACAGGCTAGTATAGTGAGAGTTGGCATCGATTGGTGATCGCTGACTACTACGTAAGGAGTGATCTAACTGTTGATGCACGTTCACTGACCCTGCATGAGCACCGGATCCCATAGTATCACCACCTTCATCTGTATGACCTGCTGCAGCCGCGGCAGCTAGTCTGGCTTCAACAAATAATCTTCTTTGTTGATGAAGCGCCTCAAAGTCAGGTACAATAGCCTGACGTCGTTCGTAAATGGCTAGGAAGAAAACAAAAACGAATTAGAACGAATATCTTACGGTGTTGTATAATATTTCAAAATTCACATAAAGTATTATGAAGCATTTGTACTCCGTAAAATGCGGGTAGAATATAAAAGGTATACTCCAGTAAACAGTGACCCGACCGTTGCTGCTACCTTGACGTGGTGGTCGGGCTTGCCTATCGTGATGAAGCAATCGAGCTATGCTGGCTGGAACAATCGTTCCTCGAGGTCCTACCATGCCAGACAGGTCGATTGAAGAGCGGTGAGACTAAAAGCAGCAAACCCAAGGTCCGAAGGCGAAGTCGTACTGCTGACTGTACAGAGGTGTGAAAGCAGTAAGGTGTTTCCTTCAGACAACCAGCATGACAGCGATGCTGCCTTCCCACAGGGAGGGGTGGGGTTAGAAAAGGTCGACCCTAAAAATGCACACCTCGCCTTATCCCACGGATATCCGTCTCCGGCGGTAAGGTTTTTTTTGAAGAACGGAGCTAACACAAAAACTACCCACAAAAAGGTCGTGTGTGACCGACCTCAAGCAGTTGTCCCTTGGGCACTGCGGTCACGCTCTCCGGTCATTAAGACCACTTCTAACCCAATTTCCTTTTCAGGTACCTCTAGAAGAATCCTTCCACGGTGTGGGCAACCGGGAAGTGATAACTGCCCTCATACCTCTAACAACACTCAAGACCACTGTATTCATAATCAATCTCCTTCTTCAATTCCTACTACCTTGACTTTCAACACTAAACTTCCTCTCTCGGTTTCCTCCTCAAGTGTCACCATGGCCAACGATTCTAGTGCGCGAAACGCTGTCCCAGGTCTACTAAAACCTCGCTCCAAACTACACATTGGAGCCTTCAACGTACGTACTTTAAGTCAAATCGGTCAACAGGCCTCCTTAGCTAAAACCTTAGAGTCGCGTACCATTGATGTATGCTGTGTCTCCGAAACACGCATACAGGATCCTAGTGTGGTCATTCACCTGACCTCACCTCGCCAAAATGGACAGCCAACGAAATACACCCTCCGTGTATCTGGCGACCCGTTGGCTAGTTCTCGTGGACTTGCAGGTGTAGGTATAGCACTAAGTACAAGGGCAGAACAGGCACTACTAGAATGGATCCCCGTTGACAGTCCCCTGTGTGCTGTCCGGCTAAATGGCTCCGTAAGAACTCGGAAGGATAGGGACACACGTCGTTGCCTTTTCGTCGTTTCTGCCTACGCTCCCACTGACTGCAGCCATGATGAGGTGAAAGATGACTTTTACAGAAAGCTCTCTGAGCTTCTTCAGAAAGCTAAGCGCTCAGACATAGTAGTCGTAGCGGGTGACTTTAATGCCCAGGTAGGCAGCTTAAATCAAACAGAAAGACATCTAGGTGGGTGTTTTAGTATTCCGGCTCAACGAACCGATAATGGTGATCGTCTGTTGCAACTATGCTCAGACAATCGTTTATTTTTGGCAAGCACTAATTTTAAACATAAGGAGAGACATCGTCTAACATGGCGACCACCTGCACCAAACCAACGATGGACTCAAATAGACCATATTGTCATCAGTCATCGTTGGAGAGGCTCAATAGAAGATTGTCGCTCGTATTGGAATACTTGTTTAGACTCTGATCACGCTTTAATACGAGCACGCATTTGTCTGCGCCTCAATGGACGCAGGAAAAGTAAACTAAGAAGACCCGTTAGGATTGAACTGGAGGACGAGAAAGCCAAATGTGAATTCCAGAGACAACTGAGTTCACATCTAGGCAGTTCTGTAAACGAGACTGACCCAGATGCTGCTTGGAAAGGCATACGAACAGCTGTGGAGACAGCAGTAACATCTATTAGTCATTTAAACCATAGGGCTCCAAAAAACCAGTGGATTTCTTCTAGGTCTATTTCACTGATGGATTCGCGTAAACTCATACCATCAGGCTCTGAACATGACGAAGAGCGTAAAGAAATTAGATCTAGGTTAACTAAAAGTCTAAGGAACGATCGTGAGCAGTGGTGGGCAACGAAAGCAAAAGAGATGGAAAAGGCAGCGGCTGTAGGCAACACCAGACAACTACTCAGACTAATAAAAGAAACTGGAATTAAGAAGTCAAGTGTAAGTGAGACGATCTCGGAAAAAGATGGAACCCTTATCTGCTCTCTACCCAAACGTTTAGAACGATAGGCGGAACACTTTAAGGAGCAGTTTAGCTGGCCTTCAGCTACTGCACAACTACCCACTATTCCTAGAAAACCTGAATGGAACATTGAAGTAGGCCCCCCGACCCTACTTGAAGTTCAAAAGGCTATAGGTAATCTGAAACGAGGAAGAGCAGCTGGTCCTGATGGATTGGCTCCAGAGGTCTTTAAATATGGTGGTCCAATTTTAGCGATTAGGTTGACTAATATTCTGGCTAAAATCTGGGAGACGGATGTAATCCCATCCGACTGGTCACAATCACTGATTGTCCCAATATATAAAAAGGGGTCAAAATCATCCTGCGATAACCATAGAGGGATTAGTCTGACTAACATAGTATCTAAAATACTAGCCTCAATAATTATCAGGCGCCTAACTAAAACTCGTGAACTGCAAACACGAGAAAATCAGGCTGGCTTCAGACCTGGTCGTGGCTGTATCGACCACATATTCACCATTCGTCAAGTTTTAGAGCACAGACATGCTTATCGGCGTCCGACAATGATAGTTTTTCTTGACTTGAAAGCAGCATTTGACTCTGTAGACCGAGAGGTTCTGTGGCAGTGTCTGTCATTGAAAGGTGTACCTGAGAAGTACATAAACCTTGTGAAGGCTCTTTACTCGAACACTATCAGTCGAGTGAGAGCTTATGGTGAACTGTCATATGATTTTACAACCTCAAGTGGTGTCCGTCAAGGCTGTCCACTATCCCCATTTTTGTTTAACTTCATTATAGACCTGTTGCTGCAAATGACACTCTCGTCGACTGAGTTTACAGGAATTGATCTCCTACCAGGGGGACCACTAAGCGACTTAGAATACGCAGATGACATAGTCCTGTTTGGTGAAGACGCTGACAAAATGCAGAGTCTTCTGTTGGAACTGAGTAATAATGCCAGGATGTTTGGGATGCCTTTCTCCCCATCCAAATGTAAATTGTTACTCCAGGACTGGCCTGCGTCAACACTCGAACTAAGGATAGGGAGTGAAGTAGTCGAACGCGTTGACAACTTCACTTATCTTGGAAGTCTGATCAGCCCTAATGGGTTGGTGTCTGACGAAATCTCAGCACGGATTCAAAAAGCTCGTTTGGCTTTTGCCAACTTACGTCACCTATGGCGAAGACGAGATATCCGTCTATCAATTAAGGGACGAGTATACTGCGCAGCAGTTCGTTCTGTTCTACTTTACGGCTGCGAAACATGGCCATTAAGAGTAGAAGATACTCGTAGGTTACTAGTATTTGACCACAGATGCCTTAGAAATATTGCTCGCATCTGCTGGGATCACCGAGTAAGTAATAGTGAGGTTAGACGCAGGGTATTAGGTAACGATGGTAAATCAGTTGATGAGGTGATAAATCTTCATCGACTGAGATGGTTGGGCCATGTGTTACGTATGCCTGAACACCGATTACCACGACGCGCTATGATGACTAGTATTGGGGACGGTTGGAAGAGAGTTAGGGGCGGCCAAACCAAAACATGGCATCAGTGTTTGAAGTCACTAACTTCTAGCCTGAGCCATGTTGGCAGATGCAGACTACCTGGTTGGGGTCCGCGTGACTATCGTAACCAATGGTTGGAGACTCTAGGTGACATGGCTCAGAATCGATCACAATGGCGTAGGTGTATACACTCTTTATCTTCCCTTAAACCTTGAGATTAAAATTGCTTCATATCTCTCTTCCTTCCTGTACTATATCCTTCTATACAATCTTTCTTTATATACTACCATCACTAAATTAATTGCTTCTATGAATCCGGTGTTCATCTTGTTGTGCTAAAGAGGTATGGCAACTTGGACCGATGCATATATGTGCCTGGTCCTACGTTGTAGCTGACTGACTGACTGACTGAGTAAACAGTGACTTTTGGAGTTTACTAAAGTGTTTAGTGTATGCCAAACGACGATGAATTAATAAAGATAACTGACTATTAAGTATGTGATATGGATTGGGTGATAAGTACTTAAGAGAATCTATCAAAGTGCATCAATAATCCAACTAAATGACTTAGTGAGAAAATATAGCATTAGCTATGCAACTTACTAGTTTGTGATAAAATAGATTGAATTAACCAACTTTATAGGTTTTAACTTCTTTTATCTTACAAGTATATGTATAACACATAAAACAAAGACATCGAACATATTTGAATAACCATCACAATACAATCAAAATCAGATGGTCGTCTAAAAACGTTAAGGCCTATATACGACTCAATAAAAACCATACTTTGAACCTTTCATACTACATGAATTATATTTTTTAAAGAATATCATTTGACGATAGTAATGTTTTATGACATTAAATATTTTTCTTTCTAAAATATGAATATCCCATCACTCAATCTGGTGGTTAGAGCAAAACACTAATGAAAAGTAGAAAGGACTACTTACCCTCTACATAAAATCTCAGAGATGGTGGTACCAACTCTAAGCATTGATTATACTCTTCTTGTGTACAATGAATAGTACCAAGGCGAAGCATTAAACCCATGCGTTTTAAGGTGTCAACTTCATCGCGTATTTCGTAGGCTTGGTCGAAATTAAATAAATATTCCAACCTAAGAAAAAATTAACATAAACCTGTTTACACGAAAGTGATATAGCTTTCAATAAAGAATATATTTATTAAATATCTCTAAATTCTTGGAAATCATGACATATATTAGCCATTTTGGTTACATGAAATATGTACTATGTAGGACAATTGTTTATAACAGGCTTTAGAATAAGTTTGCAACAAACGCGGCTTAATGATCAAAACACTGAATTTTCAACTACTAAGTCGTAAACTAACACCTGCCTCTAGCAACTTTGATGTTGGCTTCCCAGAAGTATCACCCAAATAATGTGGCTTTAATCTAGATACACGTTTCCGTACTTGGTTGTTAAGTTATATTAAAATATTAGTTTAAATTACGGGTGAAAATCTGATAGGTAGGAGAAAGAAAGGGTTACGACACAATTCAGATTAACGCCTAACAAATAAGTGTAATGGAAAACTGCGATTTTATCATAAATTCAATCAGGTGTAAGATCTTAAAGTCAAGATGGTGATTAGGGTGATGAGGTTGTGAACATTTATCAATTGAATTATATGAAACTTGCGCTATTCTTTCCTAACCACATTCTACCTGGGCGAAAAACAGTTATGCTTCAAGAAGAGCAAAGGCAGACAAAGTAGGAATTGGTATACACATAAGAAACCAAAGAGTAACAGTTTGAACCGTGCTAAGAAAAGCTAATTTAGTGATTGAGGTTCATTCAAAGATCTTTCCCATACTTTTGAGGTGGCTTGAAATTGGCTACGATGGAGTACACATTTTTTATACTTCTGTAGCTCTTCAGGTTAAATATTGTTCTGTACGTCTTATTACTTGACTTTTTCAATCACTTGAATTATATTTCTTGTTTACCACTGACGATCAAGTTGTAAAAAAGAGATTGATGGAATAACACCTAATGAATACGATTAGAAATAAAAGAAACACTCTTGAACAGTGAAATTCTCCTTCGAAACTGATTTGGTGGGTTAGAATTAAGTCTAACAGTTAGGCCTTTGTACATTAGAGAATGATCGACTTACAAAATTGATTTTGTCTAATCATCTATAACATCTAACCACTTTTGCGTTAACACCTTGTATATAAGTATGTCATTTTATTAGATGAAAAAACTACTTCCCTGGCTAGTAACTTTTTCTTTGATCTTCAATCACTCGGGGGCTTACATTAATAACGCAATATTGTAAGCAATCATCACTCCGTCACATGGTATCACTGCAAGCCATCCATAGACTAGTAATCTTCTCCCTCACCTTAACAGCCTAGAATTCGGTCGTCGAACCATTAAACACTGTTCCGTGACAGAAACTTAACACTAATTTTATAATAAATCCAAATACTATTTAGTCAATTCTTTCCTTTTTCGTCATAGCCTTCCCATTCATATCCTAATGTAAACCATGGCAACGTAATAAAATTATTGTAAGATATCATGCTATTTTTGTTTATGTACTATACAACAGTAGCAATTGAACAGAAAATTACAGTTAGCCTTGTAACCTAGTAACTCCGCCTGTAGCCCTTCTAGAGTTACTGCCGGTCTCAAGCCCACACAAAGGAGGAGGGTTGGGCATGGGGTTAGTGACCCCATCCCGTAGAAAAGCTAACTCGCTAAAAAAACGCTAACCAGAAAAAATAATTCAAACCATTTAAACTCTGCTCTGGGAGTTGAAAACTCCGCCTGTAGCTCCTCTGGGGTTACTGCCGGTCCCAAGCCCGGGTAAAGGAGGAGGATTGGACATGGGGTTAGCGACCCCATCCCGTAGAAAATCAACTCGCTAAAAAAAACGCTCTGGGAGTTGAAGGAATAATGACGTCTCATGATGAAAGTCGAAATTCTTCGGAAGTCACGAGACCGATGCACCTTCTAACAACCAGAGCAACACTCTTTATAGGTACATGGAACGTCCGGACAATGTGGGAGACAGGAAAGACCAGCCAAATAGCAATGGAAATGAGGAGATACAACTTGGCAGTACTCGGAATCAGCGAAACCCATTGGACACAAACTGGACAACAAAGGCTAGGTACAGGAGAGATGCTGCTGTACTCCGGTCACGAAGGGGAAAATGCTCCACACACTCAGGGAGTTGCTCTAATGATGTCCAAAGAAGCAAGAAAGGCACTTGTGGGATGGGAATCTCATGGACCCAGGATAATCAAAGCATCATTCAGAACAAAGAAGCAAGGGATCACAATGAACGTTATCCAATGTTATGCACCCACCAATGATAGCAACGACGATGATAAAGATCAGTTCTATGAAAGGATTCAATCAATTGTAGCAAAGTGCTCAAGTAAGGACCTCACCATCCTGATGGGAGATCTAAATGCTAAAGTTGGAGTGGACAACACAGGATATGAAGATATAATCGGACGACACGGACTAGGAGAAAGAAATGAAAATGGGGAGAGACTTGCAAACCTATGTGCTTTCAACAAATTGGTTATAGGCGGCACAATATTCCCACACAAACGCATACACAAAGCTACATGGATCTCACCGGACCATACCACAGAGAACCAGATAGATCACATCTGTATCAACAAAAAATTCCGAAGATCAATGGAAGATGTGAGAACCCGGAGAGGAGCTGAAATAGCTTCAGATCACCACTGGCTGGTTGTGGCCAAGATGAGACTGAAGCTAAAGAAACACTGGACAACTGGACAAACGGCACTACAAAGGTTCAATACAGCCTTCCTTCGAGATACTGACATGCTCCATAAATTCAAGATACCTCTCAACAACAGGTTCCAAGCTCTACAGGATCTACTGAAAGAACAAGAAACTACTTTGGAGGACAACTGGAAAGGGATAAAAGAAGCACTAACTTCAACGTGTCAGGAGGTTCTGGGTTGTAAAAAGCATCATCACAAGGAATGGATCTCTATGGGAACCCTGGACAAAATTCAAGAAAGGAAGAACAAGAAACTAGCAATTGACAACAGCCGAACACGAGCAGATAAAGTCAGAGCACAAGCAGACTATGCAGAAGCAAACAGGGAAGTGAAGAAAAGCATTAAAACCGATAAGCAGAAATACATGGGAGAACTAGCAACGACGACGGAAAAAGCTGCAAGAGAAGGGAATATGAGACAACTATATGATACAACGAAGAAACTATCAGGGAGATATAGCAAACCAGAGAGACCAGTCAAGGACAAAGAAGGAAAGACAATCACTGAGATTCAAGAACAGAAGAAAAGATGGGCAGAATACTTCGAGGAACTGCTGAATAGACCAGCCCCATTGAATCCACCGAACATCGAAGCAGCCCACACAGACCTTCCAATAGATGTCACTCCACCAACGATCGAAGAAGTCAAGATGGCCATCAGACAAATCAAAAGTGGGAAGGCGGCAGGACCTGACAATATACCAGCAGAAGCACTGAAGTCAGACATTGAAATAACTGCAAACATGCTTCACCTTCTATTCAAGAAGATTTGGGAATAGGAACAAGTGCCAACGGACTGGAAAGAAGGATATCTCATCAAGATACCAAAGAAAGAAGATCTGAGCCTATGTGAGAACTACAGAGGTATCAGTTTGTTATCAGTACCAGGAAAAGTTTTCAACAGAGTGCTGCTGAATCAGATGAAAGACGCAGTAGACGCCGAACTAAGGGATCATCAGGCTGGATTCCGTAAGGATCGGTCGTGCACAGACCAGATTGCGACACTACGGATCATCGTTGAACAATCAGTTGAGTGGAACTCATCACTATACGTCAACTTTTTTGACTACGAGAAGGCGTTTGACAGCGTGGACAGGAGAACATTATGGAAACTTCTTCGACACTATGGAGTTCCTCAGAAGATCGTCAACATTATCCAAAACTCATACGATGGATTACAGTGCAAAGTGGTGCATGGAGGACAGCTGACAGGTGCATTTCCAGTAAGGACCGGAGTCAGACAAGGCTGTCTACTCTCCCCGTTCCTCTTCCTTCTAGTGATTGACTGGATTATGAAGAATTCGACATCTGAAGGGAAATACGGAATACAATGGACTTCTCAGAATCAATTAGATGATTTGGACTTCGCAGATGACCTAGCCCTCCTCTCTCATACACACGAACAAATGCAGATGAAGACAGCAAATGTAGCAGCAGCCTCCGCATCGATAGGTCTCCACATTCACAAAGGAAAAAGCAAGATTCTCAAATGCAACACGGAGAACACCAACCCAATCACACTTGATGGCGAAACTCTGGAAGAGGTGGAAACATTCAAGTACCTGGGGAGCATCGTTGATAAACAAGGAGGATCGGATGCAGATGTAAAGGCGAGGATTGGCAAAGCAAGAACAGCATTTCTACAATTGAAGAACATATGGAACTCAAAACAACTCTCAACTAATTTCAAGGTTAGAATCTTCAATACGAACGTCAAGACAGTCCTACTGTATGGAGCTGAAACGTGGAGAACTACTACGACCATCATCAGGAAGGTACAAGTATTTATAAACAGTTGTCTACGCAAAATACTCAACATCCACTGGCCGGATACTATCAGCAACAGCGTTCTATGGGAGAGGACAAACCAGCTTCCAGCTGAAGAGGAAATTAGGAAAAGACGTTGGAAGTGGATCGGACATACATTAAGGAAATCACCAATGTGCATCACGACTCAATCCCTAACTTGGAATCCGGAAGGGAAGCGGAAAAGAGGAAGGCCAAAGAACACACTACCCCGGGAAATAGAAGCCGATATGAAAAGGCTGAATAGTAACTGGAAAGAACTGGAAAGGAAGGCTCAGGACAGAGTTGGAAGGAGAATGCTGGTGAGCGGCCTATGCTCCTCGACGAGGGGTAACAGGCGTAAGTAAGTTGTAACCTAGTGTAAAACTAGCAATCAAATTCACAGAAATGGAGGATCACATTGGTAGTTTGAGTAAAAAAGGACAGGATTGTTAATAGGTGTTAATCTAATGGTATTCTTATATTAAAAAGCTGTCTCAGAGATTATGCATTCCATATTCAATTATTATTTAAAGTAGATAAACTAATTGTAGGCAGATCCAACTTACTTATCAGTGGATATATTGCAATCAATAACAGTTTTTCTGTGAGTGGATATCACCAAAAATGGTAAAGGAATCTTTTCGTTACGAATTTTCGAAGTACCATTAGATGTCATTTTATCTGAATCAGTATCAACGTTACGTGATCCACCACAGGGGTGAGATTCTGAAACCGTACGATCACGTCTACAACGATCATTGATTTTATTGCGCATTACAAGGTTTTTGAAAGCAATCAATTGCATGATGAGATCTTGTATTTCAACAGTCTGAAACAACAATTGACAACGGAAAATTATGATCAAAAGATATCATTTAGTATCGAATGCATGAGCCTGGAAAGCTAAGTTTATTTAGAAATAATATTTTTGAAAAACATTCAAATCTTTATTTGAAGTAGTAGCTTGTTTGCACAAAGAAACACTAATAAATTTTAGGTGGAAGCCATGATATGTAACGACGGGTATGGTACAAAACAAGTTAAAGTAAATTAGCACCCATAGTAAAATGACACTATATCGTTGTATGTGTGGCTAGTTTGAGATGTGATTCGATGGCCGAAAAACGTCCTTTCAAGCCACTTGAATTGGGATTTGAAAAGCGCGTGCGATTATTGGTTTAAGGAACATCCCAACACATCCACTTTCTTTGACCTAATTTGTGCTTTTAAGCATACTTTGTTACGGTCAATAATTTACAAAACTTTATAATACGATATTACAGAGCAATAACTTTGTATAAAAAACTGCCTATCAGTCCTTTCACGAACAAAAAAGTAAAATGTAATATGAAGATAATCTAACTTCGTTCAAATGTAGGTTTCCGTAAAGTGGTGTGAAGTCCACTTATTTGAGAGTAGATATTGTTAAGATACACAGGATGGAATTAAAATCAGACTACTGATCTTTTAATAGAAGTTAGGAAAAACGAGATGAACACGATTACGTAAACGGATTTTCAGAAAAAAATAAATGATCCACTGAAACTACATAATCAAGAACAAGGAATTTCGGGTCAGAATAATTAACCTGATCGTAGACTTTTGATAAATCATTAATACCTAAAAAAAAACGCACATATTTCCACTAGCTTACCACAATGGTGGAGTAAAATATACAGTATTATTCCGAAAAATGAAACCAAATTGTAATTAGTTAATCTGATAACATCATGAACTTACTTTATTCCGCAGAGAAATCTGTCGCTTTTCACGCTCTTCTTCCAAACGCCGACATTCTTCTATCATATTTACGGGCAATCCAACCCAACGGATCTCCTTTTTCTCTTTTTGAAGTACATTTAAGGCCATTAAAACATTTAATGCATCATAAACACGCCGACGGATATTCTTCTGAATATAATGAAGCTACAAAAATAACGTGATTTGTTGAGTATTTTTTTTGAAATTTTCAAAATAATCTTTGTCAAGAAACAAACTCAGCAACTCACTTGTTCAGATGGAATCATAGGGTGTTCAGCAGCATACTCGTGTACAAGTTCATCAGCAACCTCACTATAGGAAGTTATACCTTTCTCTTTAACCTTGTTACAAACACAACGAGCATAACGTCGAAGACCATTGGTTTTCAGACCTGTTGTAACCCTAAAAAAGGGAATATAGAGTATCAAATTATGATGAACGAAGAAGTAATGGCATACAGTAAGTAAAATTTCTATGACCAACAGAGTATGAGGGAAATATACTAGAATCCATACAAAACAGAAAAATAAAAATGTGGACGTATCTACATTAAAATAAGAATAATATTTATCACTATTCTTTATAACGATGAAACTCGAGTTTTAAGAAAGTTATTTCGATAAGACAGTTTCAAAAAAAACTTATTTACTCAACTTTCAAATATTACATGCTAGACTGTAAAACACAATTTTTGAAGATTCATAATGATAATGAACATGCTTAATAATAAAACTTGTAGCATATTGTGAAGTGTCAGTTAAGTTTTTGAAAACGAGGAATATATATCAAGTGACGACAACTTACTGTTCCTGTTCTTCACCCTCCTCACGACCAGCCGGACTAGCCGAGTGTTCGAAGCCAGCGGCATTATGCATATTTATATCGTAATAACCAGAAGTTGTAAGTACACCGTGAGGAGCTCCATTAATAATTTCACCTCCAGACCCTATAATCATTTGATTTTCAACATCCTCAGAACTTTGATAGCTGATTGGAGATCCTGTGAACTGTGTTGATGAAGCACCAGAAAAAATCAGCGTGCCCTAATCATGAGTGATGAATAAAAAGAGACTAATCAATGATAAGGCAAGTAACAAGGAAAAATATATCTTTAAATGGTTGACCAAAACTGAACTGGTCCCATGTCTGAAACAAAAAAGTTTATATTTTCTAAAGTGGTCAAAATTAAGAACTACTTATATGTAGTAAACTTACAGGTCTCACAGGTGTAATAGTGGTAGCACCAGTCAAGACTGTGGGACCAGATGATAACTGAGGACGGATGGTGAGAACACGTGGGAAATTTGATGTTACAGTAGCGCCGCTAGAATTTATCACTTGCTGACCCCCAGCAGGAAGTATTTTGACAGTTCTTTGCAGCATATGCATTGGTATCACTAAAAATAGAACGACATACGCTATGATTCACAACAAAAACTGAAGATCAACAGCTTTTCAGTATTATTGAATAATTATTAAAAACATTCGTTTGAGTTCAAATGTGATGCTGACATGGGGTGCGTACACAAAGGAAGTTAATGAAAGTTATTTTCTCTAACAAAGATGTACACAGTCTAGTATCTAAAACAGATACGTGGTTTTCATACAATTTACATCACGATAGAGAGAAGTAGGCATAAATACCGGAGTTGTGAAAACAATGATAGCCACTGCAGTGGGAAACATTACGAGAAATAGAGTTTGAAAAGATAGTGTGAAGTGTAAAATGAAGATTTATAAGGAAATTTAGGAAATCTATGCACTTGCGGCACCGGGGTCGATTTTGGGCCGTACTTTGAACCGTAGTTATTTTTTGCACGAACTCCAACAAGACAATTTAGGTCGTATCAAACGGCACAGGCTAGGCGGTCAATGATTTTCAGGGCGGATGCCACATTTTTGCCACCTCGTCCCGAACTGTTTCTCCAGCTTATTCTTATGCTGGTCAGAACTGAAGGTTGGGTATGAGCATCATGCTCCCCAACAACCTCAATCAGAATCATTCGTACAACCAAAACTAAACCGCTATATATCTTCACCGCCAAAGACTGCTTCTCTACCGTTAAGTAGCTAACAGTTAGAAACACTATTTTACACCAGTAACCAATCAGTAGTCTGTCACGTAACGTACGCATGTGTCAGGTTCTACGTTGTGTGTGGTTAATCGACTGAGTATTATATTTCAACAATTAAAATATGCCCATAAATCAAACTTTAACCCATAATATACACACAAGTTATGGCTTACCTGCTGCTTTTAGAGGTTTACCTCCAGCACCTTGACCCGGAACAGTAATTATCTTTACAGTCTTGAAAAGAGAAAAAGAATTTGATTAACAGGATACTCTACAGGCTTTACGGATTAAATGATGAGAAATCAAACCACTAAGCACCAATTATAACGTTGTCATGTCAAATAATGATTTTAAGGATTACACCATGGAATCTTGTTTTAAGTGTTAAAATGATTGTTGTAAATATACATGACTGTCAGAAACCATATCTGATAAACAGAAGTAATCTGATGTATAAAGTTACCTTTAATCCTGGACGTTGAACAGGAGAGTTTGGCACAGTCGGTCCAGACCCTGGAGCACTCCTCTGCAACATTATGACGCGCGGGCCTTGTTGACCAGATGGTGCCTTTTGAAAGTGCAAGGTTCCATCTGCTCCTACAGTGATAGTCCCCGCACTAGATACAGCAGAATGTCCAACTCCTGATAAATTTGAATTTCCTGATACAATTGGTTGATCATTAGACCCAACAGTTATTTCTTGTTCCGCAGCTGGTATATCGAATAGATCTGCCGATACTGCTCCATAAGGGTCCATCTGAAGTATGAGGTTACATTAGAAACAACCTGATTAGCTGTTGGTTAAAAATTAATGAATAAGACTACATACAAATAAGCTGATCTAGTGGTTGAGTAAAGAGTGAGGCAGCTATAATGACATGGTGATCAGGTTGAGTCACTAGCCGTAAGAAGCTGTTCTTTGAGCTTGCTATCACGTTTTCAGGACAAGACCACTTTAAATTCTGTTGTCCAAAAATGTCTTTCAGCAGTGTCACTGGTCGGAAAGTGACTACTGCTAGGACATCTCAAAACAGAACTTCCTGAAGCTGTACTGGGGTTGAATACATTATAATCTTATCCAACGAATAAGATTTCTAGGAGGAAATTAATTCTAAGTATTCGAAAATAATGTTTAAAACGCTATAAAGTAACCTATCTATATTGCTTGAGATTTCCCAGCAAAGAGTACTGATAACTTCCCGGTTATCGTAAATGCCTGACAATGTGCATTAGAAACATAACTACGATCTAACCAGTAAATGCATTGAAGCCTTGGACCAAATAAAATTTTTAATAAACGTGCTAGTGATTCGAATCCCAGTTAGTTCTCCCAAATGCCCTGGTACGGTAGAGTATACAGCCACTGCCAGGGAAGTCCTACTCACAGCCTTCTCGTTGTTGTGTTGTTTACGAAATTGAGAGGACAAAAAGAAAATAACCAGCGCTTTACCCGGGTCGGCGGACATAAAGGATCCGCATAAGGGAGTTGGAGAATCCTAATTCCAAACCAACGGTGCACATGAGCTCCAGTATCTTGAAGAAAACAAATGGCGTATGAACCTATCGTCGGTCACCGACTACCATAGAACTACATCTCCTGACGTTGCTCCACTGCCTTGTGGATTAGACTCGAGGTGTGCCCCCCCCCAAGAAAACCATCTTGTTCGGTTCGGGCCCCCGGGAAGTATCCTAGCCCTTACACAAATCGAATGATTTATGTGGCCCATACCTACTTCGTGCTTCTTTGTACCAACCGTTTAAGTGTTTAAATAAGTAGTGCATGTTTCTAAGCGGTAAGATTTAATCACCGTGATAAGATTTCTTATATTCACCTTGGATTAAAACATACAGTAAGAAGTTTAGTAAAGAATCATCCAAGCCAAAAATGCCTTGAAAACAAGTTTTTTCAAGTGTTCACTATTCCGGACGTCCATTGAGAAATATTGTTAATTGAAGTGTCACAAACTGTATTGTGAGAATTATTCTTCTCATATTTGTCATTCCTGATCCTGCCAGTAATTTTACTTGGTTGATATGAAGAATCAATATGTAATAACCAGAAAAATAAAGCGTCAAAAATGAGGTTGCACTTTACACTGCTGCTACTATAGACCAAGTATTCACCCTTCGAGAGATTATGGAACATATACACTTTTTGACGTCCTACTATAACTGTACTCCTTGACTACTAGGCGGTGTTCGACTTTGAAGATTATGAGTTTCTATGGTAGTATTTGCCATTGGAAGGCGTTCTAAAAAAGTACATTAACCTTGCACAGGCTCTTGACTCGAACACTTCTGGTTAAATTAGGGCTTATAGCGAACTGTGATTTTGAATCGGTTAGTTGAGGTTTGTTCGCTTTCTACAATTTTACCTAACTCTGACACACACAGGCTCTTAGGGATAACACTTTCATTGTCTGACTTTTGAGTAGTTAATCTAATACGAGATTTATTTCCTGACTTAGAATGAGCACATGATACAGTTAAGTGAAGCTGACAAAATGCAGTCTTTTGACCATCTTAGGCAACAATGAAAGCATTTTTGGGATGCAGTTCTCTCCCTTAAAATATAAAATGCTACTTCAGGATTGGCTCAAGTTACTGCTTGGATTAATGATAGGAAGTGAAATAGTTGAAAGGAGTAAGCAATATATATATATATAGTCATATCTTTGATCCCTGATCTTTCCAATTACCACTAATATTGTTACTACTTCCACTATAATGGAATTCCGCGCGACACTTCTGTGTTAACAGAGTATGGCAACTTGAATGAATGTACATAAGTGCAGGTTTTACGTTGTGACTGACTGATTACACTACTAAGTCACCTTTAGAAGCCTGAAAACCATTATGTAAAAAATATAATATATTGAGCTTTATGGCAATGAATCATATTTTTTATATAAAAATACAGACTATGCAAGTGATAGTGAAATTAGCAATGACAGAAACCCCTCTCTCGACTGTTATCACATGAACAAAAAGACGGATCAACCTTTAGGCTGGACAAAATCTTCATACGTTTAACCATTAAGTATAATAATAGATACACTTCAACCACTGAAACTATCCACTAATACTCACGAACTGAATCTCAATGCACTAAGTGTAATCAAAATATATTCTTCCTGTACCACTGACTGGACTAGTTAGCATAACCAATACTTTTTTCAAACACCTCAAATAAACTTAGCACCTCATGAAAATTGTAGAATACTGATCAATGGTTGAGAAACCTCTTTAAACTCCAACACAAGCATCTTATTGTATGAATAAAACACTAAATATGACTTATTAATGAAGACAGGATCAAAAAGCCAATGTTTTGATGTGAATAAGCCCACTACTTTGAAATTAAGGACAATGAACACTCACGAGTAAGATGATTCGTCTGGACACATCTTATTAAACAAGCTTCATTTCCATAGTACAGATATTTCTCACGTATTTTAATTCGTAAAATCTTGTGACAGCAAACTTGACAAACAGTATCTTATTTTGAGAGCTAAAAGCAGCTGAATCTCGACTACACATTAGCATCTTGATGATAAAATACAATGTATAATTTATAAGAATTTATATAAGTGAAAATTCCGCGGGAAACCCTGGCGGGAAAATTAGATTTGCGCTCACTTTTATTAGCGGAACTTTCAAAAGGGATGTCCTACAAGCTAAACCGCGGATATTCCGTCGTCGCAATTATTTAAACAAACTTGATTGAAACTTAAAAAGCTGATCCTTTGACTTTATTTGAAACGACCACTAGCAAAAATAGTAGATTTTTGACAAAAGTGTGTAGTTTTATACTATGATAAGTTTTCAAACATGGGATTGTTGTCTTCGAACTTTGTTAGGGTGAATTTTACTTTCCTGCCAATAACGACTAAATTCTCTGGTATAGTCTACCATATTTCTTGTCATTTTAAGGAAGTCGGAAATCAAAAAGAGGTAGCGCTCATGCGACTAAAAATTTCACGAAGGTTCTGCAATCTTAGAATTGCGGTTCGTAATACCTTTATAAGCAAGGGCTCCAAAATCAGTAAAACAAGACTTCATGAATGAAAAGGCTCGAGTTTGCTTTTGAGATAAGCTCGGTTAGCCTAGGAGTATGTGATTGTGGCAGAATACTTTCTGTGAGGTTGGACAGCATGGAATGCTAAATCTTGATATGGTGAAAATAGGTAATCGAGCGTCCTTAGCTACAGATAATCTAGTAAAAGGAATAAGCGCTCCAACAACGTATAAGATTTACAAAACCCTTTAGCTTAGTGCTTTATTCCCCAGTTTATAGGGAGGATCCTTCCATTATCACAAGACCTGAAGTGATTTTAGACCCTTTTCTAAGAATTTGCCACTGAAAAGTAAAATTAAATGACTTCAAAAAGTTTTCTGGGGGAAAACTCTTGATATTTCTGGTTTCTCTATCAGCTTTTTGATTGAATTGTATCACATCTCACAACTTGTAGTACTGCGCACATCTGGACATTATTTGAGTGCTTAGATACGGTGTGTTCTGGTTGCAAATTACAGAAATTCACGATCTAATGAGAAAAATGTGATTTTTCGACGAAAACTATCTGATCTTAGTTCATGGACTTTCTGTTGGTCCCTTATAGAGTGGCAAGTACAACGTTAAAGGAAACTATTAGACATAACAGTGCCAAAATCATTGCACAGTGAACAGTAAACCAGTACCAGATAACGTTGTAACCTACTGTAACATATCACAAACAGGTTAAGGAGTCGCGAAAAGCTCAGAAACCCCTTTCACAAGTACGTTGGATATAATTATATATTATATGAAAGAATAATTTATTGTTTTTGTCATTCGTTACGTGATAATACGATAATACTCGAGATGAGAGATCCAACTTGCAGGATAATGGACTAGGTAATGTATCTAAATACGTTAGACCACGAAACCAGTACGAAATGTCCAGGCTATCAGACTAGGTCAAGTCATGCAAATATACATAGATAGTGGTGACGGAACAATTTATTCGCTCGTGTTACACACAGTCCATACGAATTAAACTCAAGATATATGTCAATGGTGAAAAGCAATTTATGATATTAAGTATAGCCTCATATATTTAGTGTGGCTGGGTGTACGTTTGTAGGGGTGTTGTTGCTAACCACACAACTCTTAAAGCTGAACGAGATGACTGGTATTTTATAATAAACATGGAGGGAAGGACAACAGTAGTGAATAAGAGAATAATCAATCCAATTAAATTCAATCAGATGGTATGACGCAGCCTTGGAAGCGTAGTTATTCTGTATAACTTATCTTAACTCATGTTAAATATACGTTATCTTGCCTTTAGCCTAAATGTATCCTTAACAGGCGCCAAACGTTATGCCGCTGACCGTTACGATACTACCAATCAGAATAGATAATGATATGATTTCCACGAAAGATCTTATAGTTTAGGTTGTCACATTATGACATCTACAATTTTAGGATTAGGTATATTATTGTAATACTACTAATAACGAAGTAGACCATAATTCCACTTTTTTGTCTTCACCCACTAACTATTCGAATCGCGATTTTACTGGATATACCAAGCACAATATTCTAAAATTTTCCTCATCTTAAGCGAGGAGTTACAAATGAACAGCAAATAGGAACAAATAATTCGTGGGAGCGGCCGTTTCATATTTATACGTAGTTTTAAGGCCATTATGTTGACTTCCTAACCAACTACCATAGGTAAGACCATTTTTTTCGTTATGAATCTGTGTAGATTTTCTCAAATACCGGTTAACACCTCTACTATTTCTCTTTAGTATTTACTTCTGGTGTCCATAAAAGTGCCCACTGAACCAGTGCATTCAAATATTACTGCGACCCTATTTTCTCAGACACATTTTGTATAGGTTTCAGCTCTATAACATCCTCTGTACAGAATAAAGTGAATTACTTGGAGTTTGTAGACGGATCATTTACATTGAGCATAAAAGAGCATGGTAATATCTCTAAGGAAATACTCTTCTCAGCCCCTCATGATGATAAAACAGGTTTTCCTCGGTGGTCTAGCTTCAAATGACTCATGCTTTCATCTATGAAACATACCAAATCTCCACAAAAACCCCTTCTGATAAAACATTGGTTACTCTGCCTTGTATCCTTTTTCTGAAAAACGTTGCTGTCCAATTTCCAATTCAATAAATGATTCGAAAGCTTTTCAGTTTTATTATAAAATTTAAGTAATAACTCTTGTCGAGCACTTCTGTTATGTTTGTATATATTGCAAACACCGTATTACTTACATCTTTTAGCTGCAGTCCAGTCTTCTCTTTCTATGAAAGGATTAGTCAAACATTTAAGATATGTTTGAAGATGATGTTTTCTACTGTCGAATAGAATTATCCGTTCCTCATGGAGTTTGATTTCAGCCCGATTGGTCATCGTATAGAAAAATGGTTGTACTGAAATGCAATAGTACTGTTTTAAGAAGAAAAGTAGGATCAACATAAGGACAATAACCACATTCCTTACTATCATCCTTACCAATCTGGTTGCAAGTTCAATGATAAAGAAAGGCTAACGTTATGTTTTTCTGAGTTCAAGTACCACTTTGATCGCTCCACTATGAAACTTTGAACGGTTGATGATGTCATTTGTAAAGTACTGAGATGTGAGGATTTATATTATGACTAAACTTTGAGTGTCGTTAATCTTGGAGATGACAGATACCAGAAATCACTCGAAAAACGTCTTGAGTTTGTAGTTTTCGCGTTCCAGTCTATGTTTCCTACATGAAGTGAACCTAAATGTCATGGATTCGTTTCTTCTTTTGGTCTACCATATGACGTTTTTCAATGAAACTTGTTTTTACTGAGTATGTTCTCAGCGTGATACTACTATGGTTCACTGTGACAGTTCCGATTGCCACGAACTTGATGTAGTCCAGTAACTTCCTAAATCTGCTATGTCTAACCCATCGTACTAGTCCTCCGATTCCCTGCTGACAATGTGGTGTATGGCATTTCGTATGAACCTGTCCTTCCAAACAACGTCGTTGCAGAAAATGTAAATCAATTGGTCACAAAGATTGATTCTCACAAAGGAGCAAACTAGATCAAGCGCCTCATCGGTTCAGAAGAATCAGTACATTTGTCTCCGATTCCTATACAGATTTGCCGAGCCTATTAGCGTTCTGTCAGAACAAACCCCAAGGTGGATGAAAATTCATCACCCATATTATTACTGAGCAGTCATTCAGATTGCGAATAGATACTGCATCAGACAAAACCGTTATCTCTCGTAAATTTTGGATAAAAATGGGTGGCCCATCTATTGAGCCAACAACACAGAGGGCTCATACAGCAAAACGTTAATCTCTGCGTTGGAATGTGAATTGTCTTTCCGATAATCGATGTTCACCAGGGTATGTTGCGAACACCAGCTGATATAATTTTACTGGATTTACATTGGCGTGACCAGTTGCTGCTAGCTAACGTCCCCCTAAGTGCCGTATATCATCTAGTAAGGCAACGAATTTACTGACTCAGTTCTCAACCATTTTTCAGCCTGTGTTGAGTTTGTGCTCGCCATGAAAGCAACCTTTCGATTGAAGCCAGGGTCTGAACCTGTTTTCCGTCAGAAGAGACCAGTGTCATTTGCAGCATTTTCAAAGTAGATAAAGAAACCAGCAGCCTACAACCACAAGGAGTTATTATGCCTGTTTTGTATCCTTCTTGGGCAACACTTGTTGTGGTTATCAAGAAGGAAGAAGGAACAACACGCATATGCGCAGATCTCTCTACCGGCCTTATCGTTTCCCCTGAAAAATATCACTACCAACTGCCAGTTCCGGCAGATTTGTTCATTGTTCATTGGGAAGTCCTTCACAGATTCGGACCTAGGCGATGCTCATTTACTAGTGGAAGTGGCTGACTAATTGAGATAGCTATCTACCGTTATTACTTATCGTGGTTTATTGCAATATAATCGTCTACCTATTGGAGGTAATACCACCCCAGGTATCTTTCAGCAACTAATGGGTGTCATCTTGTCGGGTATTCGGAGGTTCACAACTTGGCAAGGTCTTAATTGTTGCAACTTCGTCGGAAGATCCACTAGAACGCACGACGGCAGTGCCACAAGGATAATAACATCCGGGCCTCACTGAATCATTTACTGAATAAGGACACCACTTGGAATTGGACAAAAGAATGTGGTGTTTTGCAAACTAAGATTATTAGCTCGGAGTTACTACTAAAGCAGTAGATCCGTTCATCCCAATCATTGTGGCTGCAGATGCCTCAACCTTTGAACGGGTGCGACAGCAAAAGATACTATGCATGCATTTCACACATTAACTTTTGCAGGAAAGAAGTACAGTCAGGTAAAGATGAAGGCACTTGTCCGTTTCTTCACCATGCACGGTTTACACAAGTTCTTATACGGTCAAAGGTTTTTTCTGATAACGCTTCCAAATTCGGTATTCCAGCCCATTCTGAAAATCGTCCTTAGCTATGGTTCTTGGTTTTACTTGGTCATGATTTCAACGAGATGCTGATGCACACAACATTACGCTTAAACAAACGCCTTGTCACGGCTTATCAGAGAACACTATTTGGCAAAGGAAGACATGGTTATCGTCTCACTTTCGACAGAAGACCGCCTAGAGTGTTATCTAACGGCTTCCATTCATGTTTTACAAGTGCAAGCGCCCGAGATCCAGGCCACCTCTGGAAACAACCTGATCATAAGGAAAACGATAAACCACGGCATCGACAGTTGGCCGCCTACCGTTTATGAGTGTGACATGAAGCAGTTTAACCATCGTCTGGATTCGTTTTGTGTCGTAAACGAATGCTTAATGTTTGGAGAGGGGGTGATTGCGCCGGAATCCTTACGACCAAAGGTGCTGAAGCAGTTTCATATATATCATCACGATGTAAAACGAAGTCCATGGTAGGAAGTTATACACATTGGCCACTCATGAGCCAGCACTTCACGGACTTGACAGGGATATGTATTCAGTGCCACCAACGACGATCAAGATGCTATTGATATTGACAGAAATCTGCCTGAACGAACTACCAAATGTAATTCTGTCAGATAATGGTTCACAGTTCACTTGCAACCCGTTTCAAGAATTTTGCTCACGGCTATCCATCAAACATTTCCGCTCTCCCATTAACATCCACAGTCGAGTAGCCAGGCAGAAAGTTCTGTGAACACATTTAGGAGGGCTTTACTGCGTCCAAATGGGTGATATCAGTAGAATCGCTATACAAATTATTATCTGTTTACCGAATGATGCCAAACAGTACGTTGGCAGAACGGAAGTCCTCAGCAGAGATCTTCTTACGGAAAAGACCGAAGATGATCGAAACCTGAGATCCAAACCGTTCCACAACTTGAGCTCCAGGGGCTGCCGACATGTAGGGTTGGATGTCACGTGTTCACTTCAGACTACAAAGTAAACCACGACCCCTGGATAGAAGCGCCCGTGTGCGGAAGGCTAAACCAAGCCATTAGTGAAGCAGAGAAAGGAAGAGGGAGGTGTACTTGGCACCAGAACCAGCCACGGAAACCGTTATCCCCAGATCACTCATAGAGATACAGAAATCTTTAAAACGAAGATCCGTTGGATATCTTCAACCTCCTCCAAGTCCCAACGAAAGATGTCTGGCACTGACTAGTTTGGTAGTTGCTTTGGCTCAGGAATAAGACAAAGTATGGAGGTTATTAAATACTAATTTTCTCATATTTTTGGGGACGGTGGGTCGAGGCATCGCCCAGTTACCGCTTTGTTTGAAGCATCCACTACCAATGCTGGTGGGGAATGGGGATACGGATACATCAACGTAGATGACTTAGCTAGTTTGCTTCCTAACTGTTTAACAGCCTCAGTAGGCATAGAAGTCAGTTTCAATTCTTTTGATTTTCATTTGAAAGAATCTGTCGGGGGTTGCGTTAATTATGCAGAACTAGGTAAGAATCTTTTATAAAAATTAACAAAAGCCAAAAAACTCCCTAATTTATGTTAGAGAACTTGGTATGGGTCATTACATAATGGTGTCTACCTCCTCTTTGATCGATGTGCTCCCTTCAGATCTTATTTTGTGTTTTAGAGTTTGAACACTGAAAACACAACTTAATATATATTTATCCCACTTTCCTTTCGTCGTTTTATTACTCACCTTACTTGCTGTTCATGTGATTTTATATCCGGTCTCGTAATCAACAAACCGTCTATACCCCAGTGCAGAAGTCATATCCTTAAGTAGATTGCCGAAAATTCTTTAAAATGCGCGTTCCTCAGGCCGAGTCGCATGTGTGCTAACTTGAACAGACTAGAAGATGTAATAGTATCTGTCTTAGGGTTAGCTTCCTCAGCTACTGGGACACTGTAATATGCCTCGACCAAGCCAATTTTAGTAAATATGTTCGTGCACCGTAAGCTCTTTGTAAACTCTTAGATATACAGTGTTTGGTACCTATCATGTACTATTTGACGGTTGAAGGATCTGTAGCTCTCACGTAGTTGTCAGTGGCTGTCATCCACAAACAGCTATTATCATTTTTACTTTCGGCTAGTCTGGTTAGCCCATCCCAACACGGGTTTATGATTAAACGCTCATGCTTCACATCGCAGCTGGACTTTTTCGATCAAATTATCCAGAGAAAAGATGTTGATCAGTCAGTGATAGTTCTGTACTTCGATTTTAGTAAGGCTTTCGATAGTGTCTCATTTAAGCTTCTTCTAAAACTCTCTTCATTTGGCATACGGAATCCCTTTTTATCTTGGCTGAAATCATTTTTAAAAGAACGTAGCCAAATCGTTCGTTTTGTATCTTGCGACTCTAAACCCGTGAATGTGACCAGTGGGGTTACACAAGGTAGTGTGATTGGTCCATTACTCTTTCTCCTTTTTATCAATGACGTGTGTTCCCTTTTTCAGTATGGTAAGCCTTTACTTTTTGTCGATGACCTGAAAGTGGTTTATTCATTCTCTTCTCCCACCGAAGAAAGCTATATTTCAGCGGTAATCCAAGAAGAAACAAACAAGTTATACGAATGGACTGTTTCGTGGAATTTGCCACTTAATGTTGACAAAAGTGGATTTATTCACGTTGGACGCTGTCTTAACCTAAATCTGGCTACACACAAACATACAAAGGAAACCTCTCAACACTGTTCGTGACTAGGGTTTAAGATATAGCGACAGTTTGAACTTTTCTGAACACATTGCATCTCAAGTATCCAAAGCTAGAAAGCTCATCGGGTTCATAATGATTAATTTCAATAATACCGAATCGAGATTATTATTCCACAGAAAAATGTATCTTACCCATTCTTGAATATGGTATTTTAGTGTATAGTAATTGCAGGCATAATGACCTGATTAAAGTTGAAGGTGTTCAAAGAAGCTTCACCAAAGCCGTTTTGGGGTATTCTGACAACAAAGACTATCACCAAAGATGTCAACAACTCAAACTAGAACCTCTCTGGATCAGGCGTATCAAATTAAACCTTACCTTTCTCTACCGGCTTTTCAATAGTAGTAAATCCAACGTTTCGCGTGGTTCAAGCTTTTTCAAGAGAATTCTCTTGAAAAAGCTTGAACCAGATTGCCACTCGAAACGTTGGATTTACTACAAAT